AGCACAATATGTCCACGCCGGGAGGCTTTTTTGGGTGGTGGGTCATTCTCAGCACTCAATATTTTTCGTCACAGTTTTTGTTTAACAAAATGACCACTGTTGGCTACATTATCATTAAATTTAGTAAAGTGAGCCCACATTTTTGAACGTCTTACCCTTTTACCCCTGACCAGAGAGCACGGAATGACGATCGGCATTCGAAATGGTTGACATAGTCAGAGGCTTGCGAAAGCTTTCTTTCTTCTAAAACCATTTTAATCCCAGATAGGTGATTTTTGTATTGTTTTTTGCAATAAGCTATTCCATGATTGCATTTGATGACCATGGCATATAGGGAGAGGACCCCGACGCCATATTGCCCAACCCTAGTTCACGTTAACTGTCATGCATACTGTTTCTTTTTCTATGCCTACGATCTTGGGTAAGAAATTTGCTTTAAAATGTAGCCAGAATCTCAAGATAATCACTAGACCTGCTAATAAACTATTAGTGGGCTAGTTGAAAGGTAACACACTCATGTTCTTGTCACTGTTAACTGGGTGATTGCTGAGCAATCATACATACACCGACCAGCCACTTCATTAAAACCACATCCTTGTATCTGCACTCGTTGTTAATTTCGTCAGCTCCACTTATCATATAGGAGCACTTTGTAGTTCTACAATTACAGACTGTAGTCCATCTGTTTCTCTGCATACTTTGTTAGCCTCCTTTTATGCTGTTCTTCAATGGTCAGGACCCCCACAGGACAACCACAGAGCAGGTATTTTTTGGGTGGTGGGTCATTCTCAGCACTGCAGTGACACTGATGTTGTGGTGATATGTTAAGGCCTCAGCATACTTCTTGCGGAGACGTCGTTCGCCTGGCTTCAGCAAACAATGTGACATAATTGTGTAGAAAACGAACAACCGCATACATTGTGCGGAGGCTTCATTCGCCGTGTCGCGCATATGGCAGGTGGGTGAACTCCGCGGATGAAGACGCTACGCGACAAAGCCTCTGATTGGTTGGTAAAAAGTAGGCATGCCATGAAAAGATGGACGACTTTGAGGAGCTTTGGCTTTGGCAGACACACTAATATTTCACTGTGAAAAGCGCATGTGTTTAATATACAATGAATATCTACTAAATGTAAGATGTTAAGTCTATTATTAGCTAGTAGTAACTAGTACTGAGCACTAAAACATAAAGGTTCTTATATTTAGGTTCACAAGAGGACAAGGCTGAAGTTGGCTTTCTATTCACCAGCTTCTTGTTCAAATTTTCCCATTCCACCTTAAATGGTGTCAGTATTCTGAACTCAAATGTCGCCATAGTTAGAACTAGTGGAGCTGATAATATGAACAGAAAGTGTAGATACAAGGATGTGGTAAAAATGAAGTGGCTGGTTGGTGTACGTTGTCTTTGCACTTTTTTGTTTTTATTAGGGTGATTGTTGTACAGCAGTATTTCAGTCTGAATTTGGTTCAACTTCCTGGTTTCAACAGGTGACCGATCCAGTTGATGGGCTGACCAAAGGTGTCAAGATGGGTAGCCTCACTGTTCTAGAAAATGATGATGCACCTACCTCACTGCCCACAGTAGTCAATATTGCCATTGTGTTGGAAGAGGCCATTGTCCTCACAGATCTTCCAGACCTCCCTACTGCGTTTGCCTACTTCTCAATAAAAAGTATAGCTCATGGCACAATTCTAGAATAATAGAAGTCAGTGAAATCAAATATGGTAATATCATTCGGGATGATTAGGCGTTGTACCTTAATCTGAAGTGGAATATTTCTAAGACAATATTGGGTATAGTACATATCGCTGCTGTCGGAAGAAAACCTCGTATCTCCATTTTTGTTGTTTTTCAGGTTTTTTTTACATAATTTCAAAATGCCTGTTGCCCTTTACATTGTGTGTGAATTTCATGAAAAATGGACCAAAAGAAACAGCCCAAAATAACTTGGGGAAAAAATTTTGGTTCCATTGACTTACATTAAAAGTAAAGTATATTTTTTCCTTTTCCTGCAAAGTTATCATTTTGGAGATACAAGGTTTTCTTCCAACAACAACGCTATGCTTCAGCCCACATGCCATTTCACATGGTTAACCAGTGTTTTCAGCAGAGTTTTACTGCTTTATTTAGGTAAATATTCTAGTATTAGTATTGTGAATCTTGCTTATACTTTACAGTTTGTAATGAAATTATACCATTGTTTATGCTATATGGTCATGTTTTCTTGAAAATAATACTCCAGTTATGGTAACCAAACAAGCTATTGTTTATGCTATGCTGCAATCATTTTTTTGTTTGTTTTTTTTTTCCTGCATCTTTGGTGCCATTGTGCTGTGTGCTAACTTTCGAATTAATAGATGCCGAAAGGTCAGTTTACACCTGCATTAATGTGTTGGAAGTATTGGATTAACATATCGCTGTTGTCAGAACAAACGTATCTCCATTTTTGACGTTTTTCAGTTTTTTATATAATTTCAGAATGCCTGTTGTTTTTTACATGTGTAAATTTCATGATGAATAGACCAAAAGAAACAACCCAAAATCACTTGGAAAAAAGTCTGGTTCCATTGACATTAAAAGTAAAGTAGGTTTTTTCCTTCTCCTGTAAAGTTAGCATTTTGGAGATACAACAAAAATATAGGCTAGTATAAGATATAAAATGCAGGGTATTAAAGGAAAGACTATAATTTAAAGTGATAAAGTAAAAATGAAAAATAAAGCTATAAAATAATTTATAATAAAATGATAAAAAAAGTAAAATAAGGAAAGGGTGGATATTAAAAGAATACAGCAGCTATGGTATTGCACATAGTAGTGTTTCTCTATATATATATGAATATAAACATCTTTTAATATCCCTTAAGTATGTTTTGGAATGGTGCAGGTAGACACTCTGTTCCTGTGTCGTTAGTGTCTGAATGGCAGTGTACAATGTCAGCGTTAGCCAGTGTTTAGTTCTCTTATTGTGGATAGAAGCTGTTCTTAAGTCTGTTTGTCCATGATGTGATGGACCTGTAGCATCTGTGTGAGGGTAATAGGTCAAACAGATGATGACCAGGATGAGATGGGTCTTTCAGTATGTTAGCTGCCCTGCTGAGGCAGCGGGACCTGAAGACCTCCTCCAAGGAGGGCAGCAAGCAGCTGATGATCTTCTGGGCTGTGCTGATGACTCTTTGAAGGGCTCCCCTGTCCACTGCTGAGCTGCTGGTGGTGTGCCATGTGGAGATGCAGTTAACAGACATATAAATGAAGACTAACTGTAAAAGAGAGTGTCGAGCCAGAGCATCCGTGCCATCTTACATCCATTCCAGGGTGGGCAGACACACAGACATATACATTCACATCTAGGGGCAATTTGGCATCTCAGTTTCACCTGCCTGCATGTCTTTGGACTGTGGGAGGAAACTGGAGTAGCCGGAAACCCAGGAGAACAAGCAAACTCCACATAGACAGGACCCTGTTCGCCCAGCTGGGTATCAAATCCTGGCCCGTCTTGCCCCTTTTTTAAATACATATAATCATATATTTATTTATGAGACAGTATAGGAGCAATTCTACTCTTTTATTTCCACTTCATCTACAAGAATCTCACTTTCTAACTGATCTGTAGGCTTTGGCCTCATTTTTAGAAGTGAAGCATCTCATGTGCCTGGCTTGTGACTGACTGACAGAAAGTCTGACTGACCAACTCACGTTTAACATGTCTGTCCACAAGCCGTATGGAAACAGATCAGTAGCAAAATTTAAATGAAAATGTAGAAATGGCATTGTATAGACATGTATAGAAATGGCATTGTATTCTTAAGCTGGAATTTAAATTTCCCTCTCTATATGCAATATTGGGCTGTTTTAATTTGTCCTCACCACATGTAGATACTGTTCTGTTTCACCCCATCTTGTGATGTTAAATCGGCCGCCGTGGTCCACATAAAACCATGCTGGTGGCCCAGCCCTCACGGGATGATTGAAGGATTGGGAGGACCATTAAAATGAATATAATCTGGTTGAATGCATTTTCAAAGGCATTTGGCCACATAATAAGCCACATAATAGGCGAGAATATGTAATTGCAAAAAGAAGAAGCACTGTTTTGCATTATTAAGGAGTGCAAAGGCATATAAGGTAAATTACATTTTAATTACCCTTTTGGCACTATAATTGCATAATCACATAAAGCATAATTGTGCAGTTCTTGAAATACATTTTAATTAAATAAAGCTACGTAGAAAATGTCAAAATTTCTGTAATGAAATGTCAATATTAGTGAAGCAAATGGCAAGTTAAAATGGCAAAATTGTATTTTGCATTTGACTAAAAAATTTAATTCAATCATAAGAACACATTGCCATTTAACATATCCTTTTCATTTGAATTTTGCTACTGATATATATACTGATATATGATACTGTGTGATGCTTCCATACAAGGCAGAGCTACTGGCAATCTAGTAACTGGAGTGAAAACAACCTTGTGTTAGCTAAAATGGATAAGTCTGTTGAGCATTGTGGACACATAAGAAGTGCATGCCTTCAGCGGCCTTTGGGGTACTACATGCTGGTGTTTTGCATCAATGACACTTTGTTTTCTTGTTATTTTTATGCTTTTAGGCTGCTTGTAAATCACAATGTTATCTATGTGGGTTAGTCTTTAAGTGAACTTTTGTACTCTTTTCAGAAAATGTGGATGTATTGCTTCAATCAACTCTTATGAATGTCACAAGATAAACAGTGAGTTAACGTTAGTTGCCTAGTCTTAACTAAATTTGGCTTTTAATAAATAATTCTAGAAAATTAACTTAAAATTCTTAAGAAACATTAGACATATATTAAACAAACAAACTTTTAAATTACATATGGAGTGAAATAAATGCAGCATATTATCTAGCTAGCTAAGCACTTTGTTTTTGTTACTATGTGCTAGCAAAGCTCATCTGGCTAACAAATACTTGTACCGACTACTTCATGCTAGACTACACCACTGGATAAAAGTACAACCTTACCTTACTATGCAGATACTTGTGCTGATAGTTCTGTAGATGCTCCAGTAAGATCTGTCCATGCTGGGGCTGGTAAAACCTCTGCAGTAAACTCACACAAGTACTCTTCCCCCCACCAGAAATCCAGTTATTAAAGCAGTTATTTGACCTGGTTTCAGCTCCAGGGACAAGTTCTGAAATTAGCACATCCGGGACTGATTTGAGCCATTAACCCATTGTTCATCATTAAGGTAGATGGATATGTAGATAGATAAACAAAACTAATAATCAAGAAGCTCTTACGCATGGGAATTTTTTCAGTGTGATCCCAACAAATTACACCTGTCAGCTAATCTAAGAGCTGTACCTTTAGCATATTGTGGTCAGGCCATGTTGGATAGGAGAAGCTGAGTTGAGCTGAGACATGTCCTTTCAGCTTCCCTGGCTGTAGCTCATTTTCAGCTTGCAATCCAGGTATTTAAATACCTTCCCTGCTGCACAGACACAGTTTAGCATGTCTTCAAATTTATAAATCATAGTCTGAGAGTTGTTTCAGTTTTATAAAAGCTGCGCTACATCATTTTTTTTTAATTGAAAGAAGTAGCATTACTGAGTCAGGAAAAAGACACTCCATGCGCTGCTGCAAGTAACCCTGTAAAGCCTGAAACAGCAGTTTAAAAGTCAGAGGTGTCAGGTTGGATTTTGCGGGAGTTTTTTGGACAGTTTATGCAGTCTTGTGACATGCCTTTTGTTGTACAAACTTAATTGCTACTTGATCTTAGTGTGACAGAGGACTGGACCTACTGTACTTTATCTCTTCAGAGCTATTTGTTATGTGCCACTCACATTCCTGCTGTGTTAATGTCTAGCCTCCAATAACCTGATTAACTAGCCTCTTATAAACTCTTCAGGTGTTTTAATGAATAGCCCATCTCATCATGAATTCCTCATATACCCTTAATCATTATGGTCCTGAAACATTTATCTCTTTGCCTTGTGAAGTAACATACCTCTTAATTTGCCCTGTGCTCATATGTTCTCATGTCTTTGATGTCCTGCATATGACAATTCAATCAGTATGTAACGCTTGGACAGAAAACCAGACGTGTGCAGGTGGTTTAATATAAACCAAGCGGCCGTAGTCAAAAGGGGAAAAACAGAGATCGTAGTCAAAACACAGATCATACACACAAGCGAAAGTACCTAGGCAAGGACTAGGCAATAGGCAAAAACGGAGTCAAACAAAGCAAAGGGTCAAACACGGTAAACAATCAGAACAGGATGAAAAACGCTCAGTAGTCTCAGAGAAACAATACCTCGCAGTGAGTCTAACTAAAGCCCGGGCTTATCTACTCTAAACTACCTGTCATATGATCATCAACACAGGTGCAAGCAGTCAAAAAGGGGACTGTGAGCGCTGATAGGAGCGCCTGCGAGAGTCCGAAGTCACATGAGACTTCATAGTATCCTGGGAAATGGAGTTCTCGTCAGAGTCGGATTCCGAGTGCGGCTGCTCAGTCACATGATCTCCCAGAGAATTCTGGGAGATGATGTCCGTTTCCTCCATAAAGGGAGCCGAATGCATGACACAGTAGTCCCCCTCACCCTGACCAGATTCATCTCACAGAGGTGGCCTCTGTATGATACAAATACATCTGTTTAATCCCACCCATCTAAACTTCCTCTTTAACTACAATTACACTATCCAATGAATAATGTCTAGCCCGTCTCATGCATTTCATGTACCCAGTAAAAGCCACAGGACAGTGGCTTCCATTTTTTCCCCACAGTTTTAGCTCGTCTTATTAATGCTCCCTGTCAAGTTCCACCTTATTTTCTCATCCCTGCAATCACTAATTTATACCTCTCACTGCTGCGTTGCCTCAAGCCTTCAGATCACTATCAGTGTGCCAGTGTTTGAATTTTAAGCTCCAATTGCAGTTAAAAGATGTAACTGGGGACATTTCAAAGTGAGATTTCGCCCATAGAGTATGTCATTTTCTACCCATCCAAAGCTGTTTTCTGTCATCATGAGTTTTAGTACAAGGGTTGAAATGGTGAAAATGTCAAAGCAAACATCTAACGTTACTTCACTGAATCAAAAAAGATATGACCATATAGATTTTTGAGGCTGCTGTGGCGATATGTTTTTGGCTTCTATGATTAAGTTTAGGTTTTTAAGATTGCTGTATTGTCTTTCCTAATATTTGCATATCTGGGCTGTCTGATTTTTAGATTTTTAAGTTTGCTATGTGCTTTTCCTTGTCTTTGTCTGTCAGTTGTCTGGTTTTAACTTAGTTATGTTGTCTTCATTGGACAAACATGCATGTGGCAAGTGGACACATGCTTCATAGTCTTTAAATTAAGGGGTGTTGCGGTGTTTGTTGTGTTTATGTGAATCCAGTATTTTGGTTGATTGCCAGAATCAAGTGATATCATCTTGAAAGCATTGAAATAAGCAGGGTGATGGGTCTACAGCTGTCAGTGAAAACTGAAGAGTATAAAGTGAAATGCATGAAATCTGAAATATCAGATCCCAGCATGTGGGCAGTGTGAAATACTGACAGGACCTTATTTGGATTGCATTAGTTTGTAGCATATTCACTGCCATGATTATGTGACATTAAAAATAAAAGCTTTCTTCAGCTTTCATTTAAACATTAGCTTACCTGCTTGATTATACCATTATAGCAAATAAATAAGAGTACACAGGTACAAGAGAACACACTGGTTAACAATGTCTAAGGGAGTTTTTCCTTGGCACCAAAGCACTGAGTTTGGTTTGAAAAATGGTTTGAATGTACTGCTTGAAAAACTAATTCTACCAATTTACACAGACTTTTTATTCTCTTTATTTCAGACAGTTTAGTGACTGCGAGTTTACAAACTATTAATGGGAGATTTTATATTTATCTTTTAAAAAATAAATGATGTGTATGCTGATCTCGGTACTGGTTGCACTAGAGAACATCTCGTCTCATTCAACACTTAGGCTACATTTACACAGCAGATAAAAGTGGCCCAAATCCGATCTTTTTCCTCAAATGTGACACAGATGTGTCATCTGTGTGGCTGTGTGAACAGCAAAAAACGCATTGAATCTGACATTTTCAATTCCGATTTGAGACGCTTTCATATGTGGTACTGAAATCCGATACGTATCCGATCTGCGGAAATGCGACTCAGTCTGAACAGCCAGATTGGAATTCATGCGACTTTTACGTCAGTACAACTCGACATTCGTCATAATTTCGCGCTGCTGAGACTCATAAACATTTAGGCTGATGTTTCTGTGCTAAAAAATTATAAGAGACTCATCGCAGCCGCTTCATGTTCAAACACAAACGGCCGAACGCGGCCGGGGGGGACCGAGGCTGCAGGACCGAGGACACGAACCGAAGAAGCGGCCGAATAACGTGCCCTTTTTCGGCGAACTCGAACACAGTGTGGGTGATGAGCTCAGCTGTCAACCACTGGAACTTTATACTCGCTCATGTGATGCTGGCGAAGACAAAACTGAAAGCTCCGGGAGCGAATGGCGTTCGCTGGCCGTCATGACTCTTTATCTCTGGACTAGCCGCCCCGTGAAGCACTGTTCTTTTGCGCATGCGGGTCAGTTTAGGAGCTGATCTGTTCAGACTGATGTGGCATACAGGTCACATTTAAAAGATAATGTGAACAGCCAAACCAAAAAATCGGATTTGGTGAGAAAATCAGATTTGGGCCACTTTAATAAGAAGAAGGTAGTCAGGCTTGTAGAAATGGATCACTCTCATGAAGCAGGTTCACTGGTTGTTTGGTTAAATAAAATGACTTTGACGGTTTTAAAAAAAAATACTACAGAATTCACAGATGTAATGTACCTTCATGTTTACATTTTTTTAATTGTTTTTTTAAACAATGGCTCCATATGATATTTTAATAATCTGAAGAGATTTTACTCTGTAACAAATGTAGAACAAGGCAGCTAAACAACCAATAGGTTCAAACTGTTTTTATTATTTTTTTCAAACATTGAAAAAATATGCCACATCTTGTCAATGTTGGAAATGCTGAGAATCTGACAGTGGCTTTTGGGTTTAGCCAGTATGTATGTACTTTAGGTTTAGGATTAGGATTATGACATTTGGTAACAAAAATGTTATTTCTAGTGCAGATAAATGTCCTCTTTTTTCACTGGTCAAAAAATGTAGGTAGTTCATTTCCTGGAATACACTGCTCCTCAGCTCCCTCTTGGTCAATCGTAACAAGGTAAGCAACACCTCCACTAGAACCATCTCTGCCTATAGCCAAAGCTAGTGCTAGAAAGAAAGAGCAAAGTTTAATAAGTCATGTTCACTGTTTTTATCATTAATTTGTGCTCTAATCTAAGAACAGGTCAAAATTCATACCATTCACAACAAACTCCTGGCATTCTTTCTTTGTCATGCCTTTCCGGTATTCTGCATCTACAAACCCATAGATGTATGAACTTCCTGAGCCACCAACAGCAAAGGGCTGCACAGACAGTAAGCCATCCAGTGTCACATATACCTGTAACATATAAACACATTGTAACATTTTTAATAATTTACATTTACAAACATTTACATAATCAGTGTAGCACTACGATTTCCATAACTAGGCTATCACTAACCTGTCCGCCAGCTCTCCTGTCCCAGCCTGCAACAATGAGATGAGCAGAAAGTTCCTCTTTGTACTTGTAGGAGATGTTCTTCACTAATGTAGCAGCTGAGCGAACTAAGGGGTCTTCTCCCACCTCAATACTATCATGAACATACACATTTGCATTATTAGTATGAATAATAAAAATCAAAAGGCAGTGCAGTGTATGATAAATTCACATTAATAATTAACAGGAATTTCATTGTACACATAGGGGTTCAAATCCAGAATGAACTGTGTTTCTGTGTATGCACCATTTCTGGTGCCTCGTGCAAGTTCAGCGGCATTGATTGTGATATCTGAATCATAAGGGTACAACCAGTTCTTAATACTAATTTTACTAAGTTTACTTATATGGTAGATGGTAGACTTATACGTTGGCTTATCTTGTATAACTCACCGTACAATACCATTTAAGACCAAATTCTTGCTTTCTTGATAACTTCAATCAAAATGTAATTTTTTTTTCTGGCCATGATTTTTGGCTATGTCACTGTGCACCAGTAGGCAGTGAAAACTTATATTACCCTACAACATCATGCTTTAACCATCCAACCACCAACTACCCCAATTATCATTGAGAAAATCAGCTAGCTCAGATAACCTCCTTGATACTGTCTTTCACTTGGAAATATGCCACATTATGGAAGGAAAATTATTTATGCAATATGGCATAATTTACCAGAGGAAAAGCATGTTAAGATCCTCATAGGTGCTTATGTAAATGCTGTAGATGGATCCTATTTCTTAGATCATTAGTGCTGTCAAGCAGATCAGATCCATTAATGTAATCTAATTTCCTGTCTGCCTATTAAGTTTTTAAAGGATCAGTACCTGTGCACATCAAGTTGATAGTTGACTATCTCAGCAATGGTCTGAGCATCAGCAGCAGATCCAGACAGAGCACAGTAGATCTTATCATGGAGTGGTGAGAGCTTGTTCATGACCCGATTCACCACTGAAGCCCTATCAAAAAGAGAGTCACAAATGTGATGTTTCAGGAATAAGCTACAAAAAGAATGTGAAACATTCTTGGAAGAAAAAAATTTTGCATGAAAAACTTAAGACTTTGGGAAGCAAACACTATTTGTTCAGAAGTTTGCAATCACTTATTGTTTTAATAATTGCAGTAATTGTATTTCATTGGAACACTTCTACAGTGTAGATAAAATACTATAGGCTAGACACCAGGACATATTTAGATTTTTTTTTTAATATTTCAAGTTTGGGCATTAAATGGGTGTGTATTAAATGGTAAATAATACACAGTACTCATTTATAGTAATATCTTTTTAAGTTATCTGCCTGAGATTTGATTACTACACTTTGAAAACGTGGCATACTGGATGTTAATTTTATTATAACTTAATTTTCAGTGTTATATTGCCTTTTTCCAGTTCTTAAGGCATCATCTACAGCTCTGTTCACATCTTACATTTCTTCTTTTTTCACTGCTTCCTACTAATTAGTTGAAATTTGTGAAGTTGCAGAATAGTAGCTTAATAGAACCATTTTACATATTTATCTGTAACATTTTTATTTTATTGAAAACACTGATAACACATTTTTGGACACTGTGAATCAGAACAAATGATCACGGATTATATTTCACCTTTGTGCGCATTATCCATCCGCAAAGATGCCTTCTTAAATGTCTTTTTTTCCCTTTATCTTTTCTTTCAAATAAACGACTTGGGTTTTGAGACACAGCTAATGGAACCTCAGCTGTATTCAATGCTGGGATCAGTCTCTTACCCGGCAGACACGCGTGAGTCGGAGCCAAGAACGACTCCCCCTTCAAATCCTATCGCTATGATTGTAGTCTGAAAAGAAAAAAAAGGTAGCAGAATTAATGTTATCTCTTCTGCATCTTATCCATAACAGCAAGTCGAATATAAGTTGATTGAAAGTGACCATGTTTCCAGAAAACAGGTATACGCATCACTACATTAGCCCTTTACCAAAGTGCAGACTGTTTGTGTTAAGGACGTCTAATAGGTTTAATGCCGAATTAAACGAGTTTGGCACCCACTTACCCCGGTTTTGACCTCTTCGGATAGCCATTCGGGTTGTATGGACGATTCTCCCAACATTATGATGACCGATATGTCGTTGACAGTTCGAAAGCTGCTCGAGAATTAGCCTGTCTAATGTAGCAACAACACAACGCAGCACTACCTGCGCGTCTAACGCCGATCAGAATAGCTTGGAACTAGATATGAAGCGAAGCTGCAAACTTCAAACATATATAGCATCGAATATATCCCTTCAAGTTTAAAGCTAAAACAAATAAAAAGGCTTTAATACGTCTGGTCCGACGGCTAGGCCTAGCATTCACATTATTTCCCCTCTTCCCTCAAACTGAAAACGAAACTAACTCAAGCTGTTATGCAAGCCTCACGCAAGCGTAGTCGCAGGTGAGCCATACTCATTTACGACACAATATTAAATAAGCCCTGAAATTCCCTTCATTATTTATTTTGTATAGGCGTTTATTTTGTATGACTGTATGAAAATGCTTTAATATGGATATGCTAAAAATTTACACTGGAATCACAGTTCAAACGTTTGGGAATACTGTTTTCAATCAAATAAAAATGTTGCAGATAAATGTTTGAAAAGGGCAGCACGGTGGCGCAGTGGGTAGCGCTGTTGCCTCACAGCGAGAATGACCTGGGTTCAATTCCCGGCTGGGCGACCAGGGTCGTTTCTGTGTGGTGTTTGCATGTTCTCCCCGTGTTTGCGTGGCTTTCCTCCGGTTTCCTGTCCAAAAACACGCAGTTAAGCTAATTAGACACGCTAAATTGCCCCTAGGTGTGAATGTGTATGTCTGTCTGCCCTGGCGACCTGTCCAGGGTGTATCCTGCCTTCCGCCCAATGACAGCTGGGATAGGCTCCAGCACCCCACCGCGACCCAGAAGGATAAGCGGTTTAGATGATATATGTATATATGTATGTATAAATGTTTGAAATGATTCTATTAGGATGCTACTACTCTGCAACCTCACACATTTCAACTAATTAGTGGGAATCAGTGAAATAAGAAATGTTAGATGTGTATAGAATCATGAACAGAGCTGTTGATGATTCCAGCTGAAAAAAGCTGTATAACACTTAAAATTAAGTTATGATAAAATTTAAAATGTAGTGATCAAATCTCAGGCAGATACCTTACGAAGAAATTGCCATAAATAAATAAGTACTGTATGTTATTTACCACTTAATACAAATAAAACATCTAAATCCCAGTGTCTAGCTCACAGTATTTATACACCAATCAGGCATAACATTATGACCACCTCGTTTCTACGCTCATTGTCCATTTTATCAGCTCCACTTACTATATAGGTGCACTTTGTAGTTCTACAATTACAGACTGTAGTCCATCTGTTTCTCTGCATACTTTGTTAGCCCCCTTTTACCCTGTTCTTCAGTGATCAGGACCCCCATGGACCCTCACAGAGCAGGTACTATTTGGGTGGTGGATCATTCTCAGCACTGCAGTAACACTGACGTGGTGGTGGTGTGTTAGTGTGTGTTGTGCTGGTCTGAGTGGATCAGACACAGTAGTGCTGCTGGAGTTTTTAAACACCTCAGTGTCACTGCTGGACTGAGAATAGTTCACCAACCAAAAATATCCAGCCAACAGCATCCTGTGGGCAGTGTCCTGTGACCACTAATGAAGGACTAGAGGATGATCAACACAAACTGTGCAGCAGCAGATGAGCTATCGTCTCTGAGTTTATCTACAAGGTGGACTGACAAGGTAGGAGTGTCTAATAGAGTGGACAGTGAGTGGACACAGTGTTTAAAAACTCCAGCAGCACTGCTGTGTCTGATCCACTCATACCAGCACAACACACACTAACATACCACCACCACATCAGTGTCACTGCAGTGCTAAGAATGATCCACCACCCAAATAGTACCTGGTCTGTGAGAGTCCATGGGGTCCTGACAACTGAAGAACAGGGTAAAACAACGTATGCAGAAAAACAGATGGACTACAGTCTGTAATTGTAGAACTACAAAGTGCACCTATATAGTAAGTGGAGCTGATAAAATGGACAATGAGTGTAGAAACAAGGAGGTAGTCATAATGTTATGCCTGATCGGTGTATACACTCTACTAGTATTAAAAGTACTTTCTGGTGATCTTTCTATACTTATTGTCTACTAAATAAAGTGTACCTGAGCAAATCAGGTAATATGGGGCACTTTAAGAAATTCTTGTTTTTGGGGCCTGGGTCAGGTATGCTGTTATTTGAATGCATGCACATTTGCAAATATGAGAATGACATACTAAATTTAAGACCTTCAATTCAAGGAGCTCCTGTACAGTGTGGCTGGAGTGGGTTAGCTCAAATAAACACACAGATTTACCACTGATTTTGTAGCACAGAAAAATGTATATTTTTAATTGATTTACATGTGAACAGATTTTCAACAGGACTTCAACTGATCACACTATTGCAAATGTCACAGTTGACTGTTATGATTGTTATGTCGATGGTTATGTTTTAGAGCAGTGGTTCTCAGCCATGGGGCTAGAGTCATGAAGACTTTCTTAAGAAAAAACTTGCGACAGTTGTTAAGACAAGCATTAAGAAGTTCACAAGAATGTTCTTAAATGCAATTCTTGAAAAACCTTAAGTTCTCAAATATTCTCTTAAGACAGTCTTAATTATTTTCTTACGATTTTCTTTAAGAAAAGGATGGGCACAAGTAGCACAGGCTGTGATAAATTTAGATTTTACCTTGTCAACTCTTACAGCCTAAGACAAGTGTAAGGCTATCATAAGGTTAAGAAAACATGCTAGATAGTGGTACTCCAGGACCAGGACTAAGATCCACTGTTCTAGAGATATTCTACTCATCATGGAACTTAGGCAGTTTATCACCAGGAATAACCACATGTTCCACTCCATCCTCGGTAATCACCACCAAGTGGGCCACACCCCCGCTGACATTATCTCTGCCTATAGCCAGGGCCAATGCTGGGGAAGACAAAGAGATTAGTCAACCATTCAGTCTTATCCAGTCCATTTTCGCACAAATCATATGCATATCTTTATACCATAAGAGACAAAATTAGGGATGACACAGAAATGCTGCCATATTGTGCATGACCAGTTGCTATTATATGCCTTCTTTAAGGATAATTAATGAAATGGACCACTGGGGACTGATACGTCAGAAAACAAGACATTATTCTGTCTCTTCAGCTAACATCAAATGCTGCCACAAACGGCTGCATTCAAATAGTGGTGTGGTTCTTTCAGTTTTGTGTTTTGCAAAAGTTTTCATTAAATTTCACTGTACCATTTGTAGTGAACTGAAGGCACTCCTCACGGCTCATATCAGGTTTGTATTTAGCATCTGCATAGCCATATATGTAGGTGCTACCAGAACCACCAATAGTAAAAGGCTGACTAATAAGCATTCCTCCCATCGATACTGTGTATACCTAAGCAGACACACAATAGACAAGAAAAGAACATGAAAGCTTGCAGGTGATGCTGTTTATCACATCTTGGTAATGGTGCTAGATTTAACAGCATGTAAAAATCATTTTATATTCGCTACTCAAGACGTATTTCAAGTGACTTGTCATAATTATACCTACTAAATCAACCATGCTCTGTCTCCTGCAGAGAACTGACAAAAGTTATTACCACCTAAAGCATTTCCTGTGTAATCTGTGCACAGCTGGTCCTACAAAAGGCACTTCCATATATGATACAAAGTCAGTCTATAAGCACACTATATAGTAGATGCAAACTCCAAGTTAGAGTCTTCTGTAACTATATATTTAATGTTAGCCTTCTGCTCAGTTATTCTCTGTAAATAAGAAAAGTCAGTTTCATACCTGTGCCCCTTTCTTCCTGTCCCAACCTGCTGTGATGAAACCAGCCTGCAGATCCTCCCTATTGCTGTAGCAAAGCTCCTTTAACACGGATGCTGCGGCTTTCACCAAGGGGGGAGACTCCATCTGTATACTGGTGAAAGATGGCATTTAGATTGAAAGCCATTTTGATGGACATTTCATAGTACAGAGCAGCTTGAGCAAAGCAAAACTCTTCTCAGATGAAATAGGTTTCTGACTGTTTTTATACAATGTGTTTAGATTATATTGTGTAAAATGATCTAAACTGACACTCTACTATCATTTATAATCCTCACTTGGGTTGCTGCTTAGTTAATATACACTATACAACACTATAATTTGACTAAGAAAGCCACTTTAAGGATGTAAGTACATGATCTTAGGTGAGCCGATCATTAGTGGACAGCTCTAAGGACAGGTCTGAACAGGATCCAATGTGTCTTGGAGACGCAATATAATCTGATCATTCAAACCTCCTTTGAAGGTGATCAGGGCCACATATGACCACATAACATTTACAGTGTGAATTCTAACGTGTCCCAATGAGACAACAACGAAGGACAACCTAATCAACTGCGTCATCACAGCAGAGACAAAAAGAAGCTGCATAACTTCTTTCTTGGTCTAGTTTCTGGTTTGTTTATAAGATGCACTAGCAATCTATTCGGCCCTTCCTCCAGTCATAAAATCCAAATATAGCCGCAAGCAGCAATGAGCGGGTTCAAGAATGCAACAGCAGTATGGGCCCTTCTGCAGGTTTAGCCCATTAGGCCTAAAAAGGCCTCAAGCTTTTGGTTTAGCCCATTAGGCCTAAAAAGGCCTCAAGCTTTTTGTTTAGCCCATTAGGCCTAAAAGGCCTCAAGCTGTGGGTCTTTTTATAGGCAGAGTGAATAGAACTGAAAGGAAGTCAGTTCATCAAAAGGCCTTCAGTTGCCATAAACAACGATCAGAGGTCTTTAAACACATTATAAGTTTATATTCATATGTACTGATCTACACTGGTTTGTAGAACATCCAAAAGGTTGTCAACATACATGTCAAAACTACATGACTAATGGCAGCATTTCTCACATAGTAGCACTTGCAGAGTGGATTGGTTCTAAATTTAAGCCATTGATTTCATGTAGACCATAATGAGGCCCAATGCACTCATAAGAGGCCCTACTGGTGTGAGGAGCTCAGTGAAAGTGGGTCAGAATTAGTGAAAAGGCCACAGTATGGTATAATTCTTAATCAAGGACCATATCCAAAGACGTTCACCAAGTTTTGGTCAGAATGACCTTTTGACCTTTGTATAATAAGTCTTTGTGTAGTGAAATCTTTGAATGAATAAGCCAAAATAAAAGACAAGGAGTGCAATTTTTGACATAACATGTAATTAGAAAGTTGTTCATGTGAGTGAACTGAGTCACATGGCACCAATTGTTTATATGTCGACCTTGTAATAACATTGTAATAGCATTTTAATTGATTTTTAAGTGTTTTGGAGTGCTAAAGCGCCCCTTAAAGGCCAATCTGGACCAAAATTGGCAGACACCATTGAAGTCTAAATATGTAAATATCTAAATATCTAAATATCCTTAAAGTTTGGAGATGATCTGACCAATGACTGTTGAGTTATAGCAAATCAAGCTAGCAATGCCATGTTTGCAGTAATTAATTGATTGATCCTTAATACATTGAGTGGAAAAGTCAAAATGTTTTTGATAATTATTGAGGATCAGTGTCTTCTGAATCTTATGGTACTAACTTGATGAAAATTGGCAAAAAATCCAGAGACTAGTTCGCAAGAATAGGTTTTTCACATTATGCAAATTAGCTCAAAAACTAAGGGGGTGGGGCAAAAAGTGACTTGTTCAGCAAGTCCCAAGGAATCAGCAGAAAAAAGAATTTTGTCTCTATCTCACTCTGATAAAAAGTTACAGGCAAAAATATGAGTAAAGTTGAAAAAGATGAAAAGTTGAAACAGGACTAAAGTAAAGTATGAGCTCAGTGAAAGTGGGTCAGAAGTAGTGAAAAGGCCATAATATGGTGTGATTCTTGATCAGGGACCATATCCAAAGATGTTTACCAAGTTTTGGTCAGGTTGACCTTTTGACCTTTGTATAATAAGCCTTCGTATAATGTTTTCTTCGAATGAATAAGCCAAAATACCAGACAAACAGTACAATTTGTGACCGAACATGTACTTAGAAAGTTGTTCATGTGAGTGACTTGAGTCGTATGGCACCATTTGTTTATCTGTCGACCTTGTAACAACATTGTAATCGAATTTTAATTGATTTTTAAGTGTTTTTGAGTGATAAAGCGCCCCCTAAAGGCCAATCTGGACCAAAATTGGCATACACCATTACAGTCCAAATATGTAAAAGTCCTTAAAGTTATGCCATGGTCGCAGTAATTAATTGATTGATCCACACGACCCTGAGTAGAAAAGTCAACATGTTTTTGATAATTATTTACCTAGAGATGCCAAAGAATTTTTTCAGACCAAGTTCAAAAAGATTGGATCAAAATCCAGGGACTAGTTCGAAAAGTAGGCTTTTTAAACAGTTACCGATTACAAAAAAACTCTGCAGTTTTGTAGAAAATATGCATTTGCAAAATTGTTTGTAATAACGTACTACATATGATACACAAGGATTTTCAAGCAAACTTGTAATAAAATAGTAATAATATGTAATAATATGTTAATTTTTATGAATAGCGCCCCCCAGTGGTTAATTTTTTTCAAACTTGATTGCTTGTTAGAAAGTGGCTATATGTAGAGATCATTCAAGTTTCATGATGATTGGTCAACGTTAAGCCTGTCAAAAGCCTGCTAAATGCTGATTGGCCAATGGCGACCATATACTTCAATGAATCAAATTGTCCTTATTGATTCACTTATAGTCTGGCCAACAGATGGTATCTGCAAAGTTTCAGCCTGATCAGATGTACGAAGACTGAGAAAGAGCTATGTAGCATTAACTCCGCCCCCTAATGACATATGCGCACAAAAATCGAATGGCTACCTCAGACTCTTCTCAAAAATGTGTCTGTCAAGTTTGAAATTTTTTGGCTGAAGGGTTGTCGAGTTACAGAATTTTAAATTAATTCTGAATTATTTTGAATTTATCCAGAAGGGTTCATTTGCATATGACAGCCATGTTGTTTAGAAAAGTCTAAATGTTTTTGATAATTATTGAGGTTCAGGCTCTTCTGAATTTTTTGACACCAAAACCATGAGGATCGGGCAAAAATTGTAGGACTAGTTTGCAAAAGTAGGTTTCGCATATTATGCAAATTAGCTCAAAACTGGGCGGAGCTAAATGGTCCAAATGGCAAAGTTGTTTAGTTTGACCCAAGGAACTAGGAAAAAATTATGGCTTGTCTGGCAAAAATCTGGTTTAGACCCAAACGCGTTGACCTGCGCTATAGCGCCCCCTTGTGGCCAACTGGGCTGATTCCTTGCGCCTGAGTAGCGGGAGGGACTACTACCTATTGACCAAGTTTCAAGTCTCTAGGACTTACGGTTTGGGCTGTGCGTTCCGTTTCAGGGAAGAAAAAGAATATGAAGAAAAATCTTGACAATTACAATAGGGTTCAATGCATTGCATGCTTGAACCCTAATTACAGGTGGTCACTTGAGACGTATTCAAGACATGTCAAAGTAATAGTTGTAAATGGCAACATGTCTCATTGTCCACATGTGATCAGATCACTTGAAATGGATGTTAGTTCCAAGTATGAACAGGGCCTATGCAACTCTGACAGATAAAGGGCTCATTATTGGGGTGTGGTGGCAGGAGCTTCAGTCACAAAGACTGTTGAACTGGCTGGGGTTTAAACATGACCAGTGAAGTAAAATCTGCATTTAGGTCTACGGGAAAAACATCAGTAAATGGAGTTGTTTCCAGTGTTACTGCACATCAGTGCGAAGTTATTTTGACTGATTACCTTTATCCTGTGATAAAGCATTTCTATCCTGATGGCAGTGGTCTCTTCTAGGATACTAATGTCCCCATCCACAGGGCAAAAGGGGTCACCAAGTGGTTTGATGAGTATGAAAATGATGTAAATCATATGCTATGGCTTTCCCAGTCACCAGATCTCAACTCAACTGAACATTTTTGGGAGACACTGCCCTCCACCATGATCATCAGAAATACCAGTTGAAGGAAAATCTTTTTAGAAATGGTGTTCCATTCTTCCAGTACAGTTCCAGAGATTTGTAGAATCTATGCCAAGGCAAACAGATACTGCTCCACTTGTGAGCAATTTATGTTGGTTTTTCCTTTAATTTGTCATGTTACGTATTAATCTTTTATAAAGCTTGTCACTTTTGTCATATCAAAAGCTTATGACCTTATTCTAAAATTTCAGTATTTTATTTACTGTTAGGAAATGGACCATCAACACAGTTATTATAAGCCTGTTTCAACATACATTAGCCAAGTCAAATCACAATGTTTTAAACTATAAAAAAAGAGCCTACAGAATAGCTTAGTACAAGAGTGTTAAAATCAATACTTGAATGCTTTTAGAGTATTTTGAGTGCTTTACTTTTACTTGACTGCCTTTCCTGAATCTTTTCAATTTTATGTTCGTAATTACTTGGATTAACAGAATCTGATAGATGAACCTGATCCCAGATCAGCAGAGTGGCTCTGAGTTTTGGGAATACAATGCCTATTCTGAAGGTGCATGGATAAGCAGGTGTACCTGTGAAAAGATAGCTGGAACTTAGCCATTTTTGTTACAGCTTGCGCATCTGCCAATGAGCCAGCAATGCAACAGAATATCCTGTCATGAACCTGGATCAGCTTGTTAATGACTTTAGAGGACACATAAGACCTATGGATTCAGGAACACAACACAGAGTGAAAATTAAGTATTTGTGTGTATGTGCCAGTGTGTAGTAAAACTGGACTCAACTGAGCACTGAATGAATTATGACTTTCTTGTGCATAATTAATGATCAGAATGTAAACATTTGTCTTTGGATTTTACTCACCCACCAACTGAGGCCCTGGAGTCAGAACCAATGATAACCCCTCCATTGAATTTTACTGCAAGGATGGTTGTCTGTCAAAAAAAAAGAAGAGAATATTCAATCAACAGTTACCAATCATGAATGTCCTAGTGATCAAAGCATCACTACACCACTGCAGTGTTTAATTAATAGTTTATTACTCTTCTGTATCTGCAATCATGGTGGACAGTCTCCAGGTTATCTAAACTCCAACAATGGCAGAAGATGAAAGTGAAAGTAACTCTGAACACGATTAATTATTCATCATTTATCGATACTTTAACATATCGCTTTAAAGTTATCACTTAAATATTATAGGGTGAGTAAAGTAACAAATTAATAATTATGGTGGACAATATAAGGTTAATCGGATAAACTGCACTGACGACGACCGTCTTCATTAGCCTAGCCTTATCCAAAAAACTATGTACAGTGCTCACAGACCCTGTGCTGTTAGTGCTATGAGACAAGGTGGTTGTACTTACGCCTGTGCTGACACCTTTATATTGGTGGTTCGGGTGCATTTCCATTGTTTGAAGGGGATGATAACTGAACGATCGAGCTTCGACTTGGGTCGTGTCACTTCATTCAGAAGGAACTTTTTCTGGTTGTGCCAGTCTGCTGCACGATGGCGACACCACTGGACACGGAAACGCACTTACATCAAGTCAACCCCACCAGCCATCAGGCGAAGTGGCAGACGTCAAGCAAAACGAGTTTTCTGTGGACATGGCGTTCTCGCATGTTTTTGAATCACCTATACCTGGTTTTAATTTCGAGAATTCGACAAGGTAAGCTAAGATCTGTTGACCTGAACAATCGGCGTGGCATGTTTTCGCTCATGAAATGCGCAATCAAGGCTTTAGTGCACAAAGATCTACACTCTCACCAAAAGCGAAAGTATGATTTTTGCCACTTAGTGATTCGATAAAAAGCGTGTTCTTTAGTAAAAACCTACGTTTTAAATTAATCTAATGGTAAATAGAATGGCGCTGAACGTGACATGTTGAAAACTGGTGGAACTTCATCTTTCATTTTCGTGGAAGCATCAGGAAATATGCCATGTCTTGCCGTGCCACGTCTTACAGCCACTAGTAAATTTCTTCCTCTTTTTGTCATTCAGAAATATTTTATTGGAGAATGCGCTGGGTGAAGGGAAAACTAAAGCGCCTAAACCTTTGAAGACTGGTACCACGATCGCAGGAGTGGTGTGTAAGGTATAAAATGGATGAAAAATCCAAATGCAGAGTAGTTTAACTCTTGATATTAATTGTGCGTTACTTTCAAAACAATAGTCTTTTTGTACGTCTCTGTTTCTCTATCTGTCTGTGTGTTTATGATGTAGGATGGCGTGGTCCTGGGCGCAGACACAAGGGCTACCTCCAGTGAAGTAGTAGCAGACAAAATGTGTGCCAAAATTCACTACATTGCTCCAAATATATAGTAAGTACTTTACCTGAATGGCACCCCCATTTCAAAAATTTTCAAAAAGTTATTCATGACTTCTATGTTACAAAAAAAGTGGTGGATCATGAAATGCTGTTATTGTTGTTAACTTTTCAACAGGTAATGACTCTTGAAGATTCTTGAAGTACACCCTTTTTGTGGTTCTTTGCACGATTAAACTGTTCTTCTGTATGATGGAAAAAATAATTTTATATGGTTCTTTATGGTTCTTTTTTTAAAAAAAAGTTTCTATGTAGAACCAAAAAGTTCTGCTATCGTTATGTCATAAAACCTTATTCTTTTATAGAGAAGCAAAAATGTAAGATATTTACCTTTGTGTGGCAGCAAAAGTGTCTCATATATATATAGACTAATCTGTGTATGCGTATTTTATTTTTTTGATGTGTTTTAGTTGTTGTGGAGCAGGAACCGCAGCAGACACTGAGAAAACTACAGAACTGCTCTCCTCCAACCTCACCATTTTCTCCATGAATAGTGGCAGAAACCCCAGAGTCGTCATGGCAGCTAACATCCTACAGAATATGCTCTTCAGGTGAGTTTTGATGTGTTTTTGTTGTTGGTAACCCTAAAATGAAAAAATTTGTGTCTGGATATTTTAAGTCTGTATAAAAATTGTTTTTAATACACTACAGCCATGTTAGTCACTCCAAGTGCTGAAGGGCTTTAGCACTGTGTATTTTCAACAGTACTCCCTAAATGCAAGATTAAGTTTTTTCATTGCCATTTTGTTGTTCATACTATTGATCATGCTATCATATTTCAGGTATCATGGTGGGATTGGAGCAAATCTAATTCTGGGAGGGGTGGACTGCACTGGGAGTCACCTCTACACAGTGGGACCCTATGGGAACATGGACGAGGTTCCATATCTTGCTATGGGTAAGCATGTGACATCCAGTAAGCACAAATGTATTTATATTTAATGATAATTTAGTTTTTAAACTGTCATATATTGTATATATAATTCATTGGTGATTCATTGGTTTTGTTTAGGATCTGGTGATTTAGCTGCTATGGGTGTACTGGAGGATAGGTTCAAACCCAGAATGGAGGTACTAAGTTGTTCTGCATCTTTTTTTTAACTCATATAATCTGTACACACATAACATTCTGAAACATTTCTAAACTGGTTTAAAGATAAATCTACTCTCACACTCATCCTGTCCTATAGCAAGGGGAGGCCAAGACATTGGTGTGTGATGCCATCCATGCAGGTATCATGAGTGACCTGGGTTCAGGGAACAACATAGACATATGTGTCATCACCAGCAATGGGGTGGATTACATAAGACCCTATCAGGAATCTGAATACAAGGACAACAGGTGACAAGACCAAATTAACAGCGTTACCAGCAAAAATTATTAACAGAAGTAGAAACAATTTACAAATAAACAGCAAATTACAGCATATATAACATAGCAGCACAGTTACACATGCTAGCACAATTCACCAGAATCAAAGAAACCTAGAGTCTAAGACAATGTCTTTCCTTTTCTGCTTCTCACATGTAAATATGAGGCCTTGATCGTATAAGCTGAGAGCCTGTGTACATTTAAAACCAATGTAAATGTTTATTAATGTCATTTTAAGCTTCATTTAAGCTTCTGGAAATATATATATATATATATATATATATATATATATATATATATATATATATATATATATATATATAATTGATATAATATTAATATAATAGATTAATATATAATTGAATGTTTTCCCAGTTTTTGAGAAAAACAGTGTCTTTTAAAGCTGAGTTGTGTTATTCCTTGATTGTTGTAGGCCTCCTACAATCTTGTTTAGGTGTCATCAAAAATTAGGAAAAACCTGTGTCCCTGTGGGTAATATGCTCTCTCTTTTTTTCTCTCTCTCTCTATCTTTCTCTTTCTCTCTATCAGGCAAGAAAAGTATAAATATAAGCCAGGTACAACTCCTGTTTTGTTTGAGAAGGTGGTTCGCTTGGAGCTGGAGCTAGTGCACGAGACAATCCATACAATGGGAACATCCTGAGCAAAAGAAAAACAGACCAGCAGCATTGTTGTAGAAATGAATACATGAAATGAGTACTGTCCTAAAACAAGAGAATGGTCATTTGTTCACTGATAGTTGTGCATATGATGACATTGTAATAAATGACATGATGGCCTTTGTGTATCTTTTGTTTCTTTTCATGGTTAAAAGCAAAATACAACCAAACATGTTTTGACAGAGACAAGCAAAGTAATGGTAGTACCATGATAAATGAAATTAATAATGAATTGTTGAAATGTAAGGTTTAAAACTGCATCAAAAGGGGTCACACATTTTAATCTAGTGTCACATAAAATCAATTGGACTTAAGCTCTTTTCCATTTACTGTAAGTTTGTGAAATGTTTTGAGGAAACATGCTGGGAAAGGAAGTTCTGAAAAACTGAAAGCCAGCATACACTAATCTACCACTCTTCTTTCCTCTTTGTCATTTTGTGGATCATTAAATAAACATTTGCAGTTTCAAGCAAAATACATTGAACGTGATAAAGCTGGACTTGTTCATTTGTATTTAATCAAATTATATTAATCTATGAATTATCTAACAGGAAAAAATACTAAACTATACCATTTAATAGAAGCACTTAGCCCCACAGCTGCTACAGTGCAACCTGTAGGCAAGAAGTCTTCCTGTGAACTAATGATGCAAACAGGCGAGCGCTCCCATTGGACAGTCATGCTGGAAACTTGACGGGTAGGTGAGTATTTTTTGTTTTCTGTAAAATCTTTTATTCCTATTATTATTTTAATATAAAATGATGAATGCACGTAAAATGAAGTGTGCCTAATTTTTACAATTTTATGAAAAAGCGCGTAGAGTATTGTAACAGGAGGGTAAGACGTGACCATAATCGAAACTAAATAAACCAGCATCTCTCAATCTTTCGGTTTCGAAAGTGGAGTGTTGTCGTCCTTTGACAGATCATATTTCACCGGTAAAAACGACCTCGATTTCTTTTTACAGAGTTTTTTTTATTTTATTTTATTTGCTTTTACAATAGCCTAATACGATTTCTTGTTTTAAGCAGATCATGGCTCTTTTAGAGGTAAGCGGTTTTTCGTCCATTTCCGGATTCGGAAAACAGTTTGGCTCAAAGCAAACACAGCTCGTGGTCCGACCGAATCACTACAATTTTGGGGCGAAATCTCAAGAATTTGCTGTTCCAGTTGGAGTTGACGTAAGTAATGAGTATTACAAATTGATAGAGGTGCCAGTTTTTGAATAATGTTCTGAACCACGTGACATAATATTTACCCTACAGTGTCTTCGTTTACCTTTTATTGAGTTTTATTGTGCTCTTATTTGCTTTGATGGCCAACTCGTCGGTGGTCAAACATACGCCCAAAATCTCCAAAATGTCCAGCATCCTCGTTTAGGTTTAGACTGATAGCCTACTGTTCGTCTACCTGTTGGCTTTACACCTGTGGCTTATGACGTAGAATAGCTTACAGTTTTACACTGTCTTACATTTGAAATGTGAAAAAATAAGTACTTCTTTGAATTCTAAGTTGAATAGAAAGGTAGCTGACAAGGATTAAATGAAGAGAACGACACCAGAAAGCACTAGACTCAAACGTAAAAGCATTTGAAACTCGGCCTATTGCCTCCAAAATATTCTCCCTACCCTCAAGGGATTAAAGTGTACGTAATGTATTGCAAAGGTAAAGGAACTCTTCTTAATCTTTTTTCAGCCCTCAACCTTTCTGAAATCATGCAGCTGTGAGGATGGCATATCAATCGACATGAACCATGGCACCACTACATTGGCTTTCAAGTTCCGCCACGGCGTCATTGTGGCAGTTGACTCTAGGGCCTCAGCTGGTAGCTACATTGGTAGGTATACTCACATTATTACACAGAGATAAAATACATTTGCATATGTCCAAAGCCTTACACAGAATTCTACAACTGAGTCAACAAGTCATGTGTGATTGTCAATTGCATATCATTTCGAACTCTGTCATTTTCATACCAATCTTACTGTTTCTGCTTTGGTGGACAGCATCAAAGGAGGCAAATAAAGTGATTGAGATCAACCCTTACCTGCTGGGCACCATGTCCGGCAGTGCAGCAGACTGTCAGTACTGGGAAAGACTTCTGGCTAAAGAGTGCAGGTTTGTCTGAACATGAATCTAACGTGTGTGTTTTGGAGATAGAAGGGGTGCACACATATAATGTTACAGTTAAGTATGCCTGTTTGTGCGTGTATGGGTGTGGGGGGGGTGTTTTTGCTGTGTCAGGAAATTTATCCAGTGGAGTCTGGGTTAATGCTATACTTTTATCAAAGATCCTTTTTGATGCCATAGAAGTATCGAAAAGGATAAGTGATTCATTTGTGATCAGTGCTTGAAGGAATGGTTCAGCACAACACTGTAGAACAACGCCTGCAGAAATCAGCTATGCAGTGAAGTTTTGTTAATTTTTATGGTCCACACACAGTAGGTCATATCATGCTCTTAACCACACAAGTCTGCATGACCTTACTGAAGACCTGAATGTAGGCTGAAAGAAGATTTGGGCATGTATTTATGGAAAACATTTGTGTGCCTATTGACTCCTAGTGTTTGTTAGCAGCATTAGTCTATAGAAGCAAAATTTGCACACCAAACATGTCTTGGCTAATCAACTACACCTGGGATAAGTGTAAAATTAGATTTTTTGCCAAACCATTCCTTTAACCAGTGTGACCATCTTTAGATTGATATTCTTTCAGCCAAATTGAGCTGTACTGCTGTGTGTTTTAGTGCCAAGAAACTTTTGCCATGACTGAAAGCCAGTGCCAGAGTGGATAATTGAGAGAGTCAGAAGAATTCCAGTAGAGTTTTTGGCCAATTCTGAGAGCTATTGTGTAAACTAATGCACAGAAGCACTCATATGCTCAGACAAACTATAAATGTTAAAATGTTATAATGATATAAAATATCATCCAGTTTGGTACCGAATGACCCAAGAGGCATTGCTCTACATAGTTGATTACATTTGCTTTGAGCCTTCAGTTTGTAATTATGCGTCAGTTGTTGAATTTGATGCTCCAGTTGCAGTTAAAGATGTAACTGGGGACGTTTAGAAGTCTGTCCCTTAAAGTATGTTGTTTTCTACCCATGCAAAGCCGAAAACAATTGTAAAAAAAATCTCATCATAATTGGTTTTCTGCAAATTTGGTACTTACAGTGCATTTTTATTACAAACAATAGGATAGGCTTTGGAAAATTTCAAAGCAAATGTCTAATGGTACAGGTAAGACATAAATGAACCATAAACGTGTTTCATGCCTGCCATAGCAATATGCTTTTACCTTCGATAATTAGGTTTAGGTTTTAAAGTTTGCTATGTTGTTTTTCCTCGTCGTTGTGCATCTCAACTGTCTGATTTTAACTTAGTTTTATTATCTTCTCTGCGCAGAAGTTGTGCCTGTGGTGAGCGAACACATGATTTCTAGTGAACACGCAGTACTGTTGGTTGTGTTTATGTGAAGCCGCTTTCTGGTTGATTTAATACTGTTTTGTATCACCATAGAAGAGTTGGAATATGTATGGTGATGACTGCACTTCAGTTAGGAATAGCCTATAACCTCATATAATGACATTGCTGGTGTGTGTGTAGAGTTTGGGGCTGGTCTGCATTATGTAACTCCCAGTCTGAAAACAAGTCCAACTGCCTGCTGAAAGCATTACGTCAAATGTGTGCCCAAGATTTACTTCAGAATGGACAATCAGGAGCATCTGTTGGATGCTTTGATTGCCTAAGAAATTTACCATCACAATAACTGTTAGTTGAAAGTGGTCTGTTTTCATTTGTAACACAAATCTTATATTCTGTTTATTGTAGGAAATAGCCTGCACAGAGAGACCTAAAACCACTTACATCTACTGTTTTACTGTTGGATTATGTGGCACCTAAAAGGAACATGCCTGTGCACATCTTCCAGGTCTTTTTAATATGAAATGGACATGTTTTACAGTAAATGGTCATTGTGTGTGTGTGTGTGTGTTTGTGTTTGTGTGTGTGTGTTTTGTGTCTTCAGGCTTTACAAGCTGCGGAACAAGCAACGGATCTCAGTGTCTGCAGCTTCCAAGCTGCTGTCCAACATGATGCTAGGTTACAGAGGCATGGGCCTCTCCATGGGTAGCATGATCTGTGGCTGGGACAAGAAGGTATATATGTTCTTTGTATGCCAAGTGTGTGTGAGAATTATTTTTCAATTGATGGGTAACATTTACATTATCAGTCACTATTTTCTAATCATGTATTCTCAGATTTATGTAATTGATTAAACCTTCAAGAGGTTCTTTACACTCACACATCTCTTATTCTAACACGGTTCTTCAGGGAAACAGAAGTGGTACCTCTATGGCATAACTCAAATAAACCTTTGTAGTACTTTACTTTCAGGAATGTACTGCAAGAAAACATTAAGTTAAACAGTAGTTCACGGGATTACAACAGTAGCCTAACTTAAGTATAAGAACAACAAATAGCTAGCTGGAATTACCATTCCTCCATTTAGAATACTCCAGTTTTTCACATTTGCACTGTACATGCTGTGTTGTTTTTTTGGTTTTTTTTTGAAAGGGTTGAACTAAATATAAAAAAGGTTGCCCTTTTGTATTTTAAATTCTTGGCTATGGCTTTCTTTTTGCAGGGTAGTTTGGTGTTTATCTGAGCAAGGTCTGACCCCAATTCCAAAAAACTTGGGACGCTGTGTAAAATGTAAATAAATGTAAATAAAAACTGAATGCAATGATTTGCAAATCTCATAGACCCATATTTTATTCACAATAAACCATAGAACACATATCAGATGTTGAAAGTGAGGCATTTTACCATTTCATGAAAAAACAGTTAACCAATTTATAACTTGATGGCAGCAATACATCTCAAAAAAGTTGGGACGGGGCAACAAAAGGCTGGAAAAGTGGTACTTTTCTTTATTAGTGGTACTAATAAAAACAGCGAGAGGAGCAGTTTGCAACTAACTCACATGACTGGGTATAAAAAGAGCATTTTAGCCCTCTATTGCATGAATTACTTAAACCTGATACAAATATTTTTTATGTGTTTTTGATATTTAAAATTGCTTATATTGCTTATATAATGGAAATACTTGAAAAAAAATGCTTCCAGTAGGTTCCAGTTCCAGTACTGGTATCAGAAAATTTTGTCTGCTAGTAACTAGTACCAAAGTGTGGACATTCATATGTGGACATTTGTGTTCATGTGCATATCTGGCTTTGCCACCCAGGGTCCAGGTCTGTATTACGTTGATGATGAAGGCACACGTCTCTCAGGTCAAATGTTTTCTACGGGCTGTGGGAACAGCTATGCGTACGGGGTAGTGGACAGTGGCTATCGTGAAGATATGACAGTGGAAGAAGCATATGAGTTGGGTCGCCGTGGTATTGCTCATGCCACACACAGAGATGCCTACTCTGGTGGAGTTGTCAATTGTAAGTGATATTCATTCATAACATACTAAGATTGTCTATGCATTGGTGACTGGATTCTCTTAGTGAGCATGTGAGTAAATGAACCTTTAGAAGTAAAGAGTTATCACTGTGACTTCGCTATATAATCTAAATATAATTTTGGAATTACATAGTTATGCAGTACATTCAATTTACTGTCACAATTTAGGTTCAAGTCTACACTTTTTTTATTAATTTTGATGTCAAGCAGTTACAAAAAAGTGGTAAATGCAAAAAAAAAATTTTCTACAAAACAATACTGTACGCACAACAATAGCTTTTATCTCCACTTTTGCTTTTGAACACAAATGTAGACTTTCTCCATTTGGTTTAGTGAGTTACAAGGAAGAAATGATCAATATTAAATTACAGCATGCTTTTGTTTTTGCCAGTAATAACTGTGACTTCTAAAGGTTAACATGCACAACTTGTAGTAGAATAGGCCTGCTGTGCAATTAAAATGCACCTCTGGGCCCATACTTGTAGATGCACATTTGTTAATGTTAATTTGCCTGTGTTTGTTCTTTTTTCTTCCTAGTGTATCACATGAGAGAAGATGGCTGGATCAAGGTGTGCAAGGAGGATGTGTCTGAGCTAATTCACCGCTACAGGAAGGGAATGTTCTGATCCTGGACCAGTGTGTATACTGACACAGAAACACCAATACTGCTCTGTGACTTCACCTGATATGATTTAGAATAAAGATGCTTTTCAAATGAAATGCTAACATTTTAAAGTTGTATTTCTTTGTAAGCTATAGAAAACCAGGTCCTGAAGTATCGAATGCATGTTAATTCAGGACTGCATTGTGAACAAGAGCCCACCTATATCTCACGTAGGCATGCCCCTAACCCCTAGGACACCGAGATCCGGACCTCAGCAGATTTTAACTTTTTTTTTCTCCATTCGTCAATCAAGTCAAAATTTGTTTACATAGCATTTTTTTACAAAAAGAGGAAGAAACCCTGAAAAGAACCAAGACTCAGAAGGGGAACACTCCTTTGGTCAACATCAGATAGCATAACAATAAAACAAGAAGAGCAATATGAATAGAGATTAAGATTTTACATTTAATATACAATATTGAATGTAGAGAAAAAGGAAAAAGAAACCAGCCTGCCATTGCACGAAAGTAGATTAACCAATGATAACTGATGACTAATATTAGAGGCCTATCAGAGTAACAATAAGAAATTTCGATGAGAAAAGTTTTAGGGCCTTTGCGCTTCTCTTTGTACATGTTACCTCTGGGTAATGTCCTTAGGAAACATAAATTTTCATAGCTATGCTGATGACATGCAGTTATACACTTTGATTCCTTCTGATGATGAAGACTTCGTTGACAGGCTTACCAGCTGTGTGTCAGATATTTCTCAGTGAAAGGAGAAACAAAAAGCTTGTTAATGTATTTGAAAACAGAATTGATTACTGTAATGCTTTTCATACTGGGCTCCCTAAGAAAGCAATACATCCTCTACAACTCATAAAAAATGCAGCAGCACAGATCCTGCACTGGCTACCTGTATCTCTCAGAATAGATTTTAAAGTTCTGCTCCTACTCCTTAAATGACTTAGCACCCACTTACATCACAGAATATCTGTCTGTATCTCAGCATCTTAGACATGCAGATACAGGCCTTCTGCAAATACCTTCAGAAAATACAGAAAATATGGAGAGGCATGTTTCAGTTATCATGCTTCTAAATTGTGGAACTCAATTCCACTGTCGTTTAGACAGTCAAGTTCAGGTCACATATTTAAGAAACATTTGAAAATGTATCTCTAACATAGCATTGAATTAAAATTCTATGTCTCTTTGGCATTTCTTTTAGACTTGATCTGTCATTGTCTTGTCTATTACTGTTAAGATGCACAGATCCTAACAAAAACAAAGCACTTTGAGATGCCACCTGTATGCAAGGTGCTCTATAAGTAAAGGCATTCTTCTTCTTCTTCTTCTTCTTCTTCTTATTATTATTATTGAGTAGATCTATGAATATCAGTCACTGTTAGCATTGTAAGCCTTGACTATGGTGAGCATATCACAGTGAAATCACATGAGAGTTAAATCCATAAACATCAATGACTACAAGGCTCAGCATTCATTTCTGCCCAGCAATAAAAAGGAGATGGAATATTCATTATTTTTTAAGATAATGAAATTTTATTTTCTGTGAGCGCTGTCACAGCATTATGGGCAACCAAAATCACTGTTTCCCACTTTATTTTCTCAGCTGTCCAGTCACTACTTAGCAAACATTGCTATCTGTCATTGCCTTAACCCTTGTCTGGTGTTTGGGTCTGTGGGACCCATTTTCAATGTTTACCAAAAGAAAAAACGATATGATTTATTATTATTTCAACCTTCCTTGGTCTTGGCTCATTTTCTGTGAAGAACATTTTCAATGACTTCACACTGTGTACACCCCTGTACATTTATATTACAAATGTGGTGTTCAGGTGAACCTGTGGGGTATAAAAGTGTGAAGGTGCTGTGTCCCTTCACTCTGTTCTCCTATATGGTCTGCTGTTAGTGTGTGTGTGTGTATGTGTTTGTATATGTGTGCATGTGTGTGAGGGTGGACAACATGGAGAGCCTGCTGACTGGCTACTGCTGCAAAAAGAGAATCTACGCTGTCTATATGTCCTATTTTAAACATCTGGTATTTTTACATAATTGTTAGGGCTGTATGAATTTAAAAAAAACAATAATGCGGTGGGTCCACCAGCGGTAAGTTTAAGGTAGCACTGAATTTAAGGTGACAGTGAGTTTAAGGTATCAGTAAGGTGGCATTGAAGTTAAGGTGGCAGTGAATTTACCATGGCAATGAATTTAAGCTGGGAGTAAATTTAAGGTGGCAATGGATTTAAGGTGTTAGTATATTTAAGGTGGCAGTAAATTCAAAGTGGCAGTAAATTTAAGGTGGCAGTGTCTATAAGGTATCAGTAAATTTAAAGTGGCAGTGTATTTAGGGTATCAGTAAATTTAAGGTGGCAATGTATTCAAGATACCAGCAAATTTAAGCTGAACTGAATTTAAGGTGGCAGTGAATTAAAGGTATCAGTAATTTTAAGTTGGCAGTCAATTTAATGTGGCAGTAAATTTAAGTAATGATTACATTTAAGGTAGCATTTAGTTTCAGGTGGCAAGGATTTAAGGTAGCAGTTTAAGGTAGCACCTTTAGCAAGGTGCAACTATATTATTATCCGATTTATATTATCCTCGTCTTTTATTCTTATTTTTCTGCCATTTTTTTGTCGTGAAACTCGTCCCACAGCTTTCGAGATATCAACACCGTTCCAACTCCAGACTGTCTGGCCTGATTGTGTGATGTGTGCTTGTATACAGCTTTTTGATCGGATGCACGGATTCTGTGTAGGAAGGGAATTTTGCGGAATTTTTTCCCATAGAGAATGAATGGGGTGAACATTTGCATGGCAATCTAAGGTACTTCTGCTTGCCTGAACGACACCGTTTTTCATACACTATCTCAGGGCAGGTCTCCAAGCATGAATTCACTGTTGTTCTGACCCGCACTCATCCATTTGTCGTTTTATTCCATCCTTCGTTTCTCCCATAGACTTACATTGAGCAGAATGTTGGCAGCATGCCACACATGATGTCACAATGGGCCCCTCTCTCACACATCCATACAAACTCATGCACGGAGCACAACGTCTCACATGCTAACAGCCTAATGCTCAGCAGGATCAGCACACATAATGATTTTTTAAAGGTGGAACTGCTTTTAAGGTGGCACTGCACTTAGATAGCACAAGAACTAATCCACCGCCATACTGACCCGCTCTCCTCTTTGTGTCATTTTTTCATCCCTCGTTCCTCTCATTGAGTCCCGTTCATTTTCACCACTCAAACTCTATTACTTCTTTGCCCGACAGTCACCAAAATGCATGTACTCATTCAGGGCAGGTCCCCAAGCTCTAATCCACAGCCGTCCTGACCCACACTCCTCAATTTGTTATTTTTTCATCCTTCGTTCCTCCCATAGAGTCCCATTCATTTTACCACCACTCAAACTCTATTACTTCTTTGTCCAACACCCACCGAAATGCAAGTACTCACTCAGGACACCGCTCCAAACTCTTATTCACAGCCATACTGACCCGCACTCCTCTATTTGTCGTTTTTTCATCCCATGTTTTGCCCTTAGAGTCCCATTCATTTTCGCCACCACTCAAACTCTATTGCTTCTTTACCCGATGGCAAACAAACTACACATACTCACTCAGGGCACTGCTCCAAACTGTTATTCACAGCCATACTGAGCCGCACTCCTCTGTTTCTGATTTTTTCATCCCTCGTTCCTCCCTTAGAGTCCCATTTATTTTTGGCCAAACCATAGCCGTTTTGTGCAACAGACACCGAAATGCATGGGCACATTCCCAAGCTCTAATCCACCGCTAGTCTCGAAGCTCTAATCCACCGCCTTACTGACCCACACTCCTCTATGTGTAGTTTTTTCATCCCTCGTTCCTCCTAATGACTTCCATAGTAACCGCTGCGCAACCATTCCGCGTTTCCTTTAGGAAATGCACTGTTCTAGTTCTTCTTGTCTTTTATTATTCTTATTTTTCTGCCGTTTCTTTGCTGCGTAACTACTTCCGCAGCTTTCGAGATATCGACACAGTTCCAACTCCAGATTGTCCGGCCTGATTGTGTGATGCATGCTTGTATACAGCTTTTTGATCAGATGCATGGATTCCTTGTAGCGGTGGAATTTTGCGGAATTTTTATCCCATAGAGAATGAATGGGCGGAATGTTGGCAGCATGCCACACGTGATGTCACAATGGGCCCCTCTCTCACACACACATACAAACTCACGAACGGAGCCCAAAGTCCCACATGCTCACAGCCTAATGCTCAGCAGTATCAGCACACATAATGATTTTTTTAAGGTGGAACTGCTTTTAAGGTGGAATTGCACTTAGGTAGCACATAATTTTAAGGTGGAACTTCTTTTAAGATAGCACTGAGTTTACACTGACTCTGAAATTAAGGTGGAACTGCATTCATGTTAGCACTGAATTGAAGGTGGACCTTCAATTAACATAGCACTATAATTAAGGAAGCACAGAATTTAAGGTGGAACTCTCTTTAAGGTAGCACTAAAATACACACACACACAATTAACACAGAACATACACTAAACACCCCACACAATTAACACACAGCACATACTCAACACACCCAACAAACTAAACACCCCACACCACATACAATAAACACACATCCAACACACCCCAAACCACACACAATAAGCACACCACACACACTTAACACACCCCACAATGCACATAATTAACAAACCACACACTCAACACATACACACACACACAATTAACACACCACACACTCCACACAATTAAGACACAGAACATACTCAACATACCCCACACCACACACGCTTAACACACCCAACAGACAACACACACTCAACACACCCCACACCACACACACTCAACATAGCCCACACCACACACAATAAACAGCACACACTCAACATACCCAACACTACACAATTAACTCACCTCATAAACTCAACACACCACACACAATAAACACATAGCACACACTCAACACACCACACACAATCCATATGATAAACAAACAGCACACACTCAACACAACACACACAATTAACACACAGCACACACTCAACACACCCCACACTACACGCAATTCACACACAGCACACACTCAACACACCCCACATCACACATACTCACACACTTTTTCCTGTTTTAACGTAATAACAGGAAATTCTCAAGCCAACTTAAAGTTTGTTCACGAACTTTCCCTTTCTAGTTATTATTATTATTCTATACTCAAAAAATGAAATGCTACTCCTCCTACAGTTTTCAAGCTAGAGCCACGACTTTGCAGGCTCATAGTACCTATACCCGATTAGGTTGCTTGTGCTTTTCTAAGGAATCCGACATACGGTTTTCATAAAATTATTGTTCAAAGATGATATTTTTTCCCATAGGAATGAATGGGCGGAATGTTGGCAACATTCAAATTTGTGATGTCACAATGGGCACCTCTCACACACACACTCAGGCACGTCTCACACGGTCACAGCCTAATGCACAGAAGGATCAGCGCAAATAATGATTTTTTTTAAGGTGGAACTGCTTTTAAGGAGGAATTGCACTTAGGTAGCACTGAATTTAAGGTGGAACTGCTTTTAAGGTAGCACTGAGTTTAAGTTGGCACTGAACATAAGGTGGAACTTTATTTAAGGTGGAGCTGCATTTAGGTTAGCACTAAATTTAAGGTGTCAGTGAATTTAACACTACATTTAAGGGGGAACTGCTTTTAAGGTAGCACTAAAATTAAGGTGGAACAGAATTTAAGCTGGCACTTTAATATAGCACTAAATTTAAGGTGGAACTTAAATCAACATAGCACTAAATTAAAGGTGGCACAGAATTTAAGGTGGAACTTCAATCAACATAGCACTAAAATTAAGGTGGCATGGAATTTCAGGTGGAACTCTCTTTAAGGTAGCACTAAAATTAAGGTGGCACAGAATTTAAGGTAACTTCTTTCACGGTAGCACCTACGAATTACCATCCACCATAGATGCTGCAGCTTCTGCTTAGCAACATTTTAGCAACATTTTAACAACTATCAACAGTTTTCAACCATTTTAACGTTTTAACGTTATTTACTGGCTTTTTCCAAATTAAAGCTCGTTCACGAACCTTCCCTTTCTAGTTCTTCTTATTATTCTATGCTCAAAAAATTAAATGTTTCTCGTCCCGCAGTTTTCGAGCTAGAACCACCAAAATTTGCAGAACTGTAGCACCTTTTTAGGTTGCTTGTGCTTGTCTAAGCGATCCCACGTAACGCTACGGTTTTCATAAAACGATCGTTAAAGACGGTATTTTTCCTTTAGGAAATGAATGGCGGAATGTTGGGGACTTTCAGTCTAACGGCCTCAAATGATGTCACAATACATATCTCTCACACAGACGCTCACACAGTACACACAGACTCACACACTTACAGCCTAATGCACAACAATAACAGTCCAAACTGGACGCAACCTGTGAGAGAAATCAAGGCGGTGTCTGAAATGTAATAAACGTACTCATAAATTATTCTGTATAAGCATTCACCATGTCCGAATCTAAAGCTTGTATAAAATGCTGCCTGCTAAGGTTCCTCCGTTCTTTGAAGGCAGCGTAGATGTATCACTTGCTGCCTTACATATTCCAAAATCGTCTGTGTACGCGCCGAATAGAAAAAAATAGAAGAAAACACCAGCTTTGACACAGTGGACAACGCTGCTTTCGGGACTGACGTATAAGACAACGCAGGCAGCAAGGCATAGAGACAGCTGCCTTCAGTTTTGGACACAGCCCTTATGATTGAAAAAAAGGTTTTAAATGAAGTTGTTTCAGTATGCCCCCTAGTGGCGACATTGTGAACACATCCAGACTACACATCTTGGATTTTGTCTTTTAAATAGCGGCCTCTTGGATCCCAATCAACTGAATTTGCCCACAAAAATTATCCCTAGAATTCGTGAATCGTTGTGCTTTATTGTAATCTCGCAAATTCGTGCAATTACAGAACTGAAGTGTCAGAACTGGCCCCAGATTTGCAGGGCAAATTGGCACGCGCATGCGCAGTGCACGCATTTTCCAAGTGAAACTGAAATGTAGTGCGTCTGGGGTATTTCGGGAAGTCCATATGTGTTCAGTGTTCTTTTGGTGACACCGAAACCGTACAAGCAGTCTGATTATTAATCGAGCGAAGAAAACATGTCTAATGTTTCGACAATCTACAAGATCTCTGTAATCGCCTTTGTATTGTTCGTCGGTGGTAAGTAGGCTACCAGGTACAGCAGCTCTACACGAAATAAACACTAGCTTCCTAATCACAAATACAAACGAAATAGTCTTAGAGAGTCGTTAAAAAAGCATAAAATACAATTGCATGCCACTCTGGATTTTTAGTTTTGAAAACACGTTGTGAGAAACATGGCTATAGACAGTCTAAAAACTTCTTAAGTGTTTCGGTAGGTGATGTTAAGCATGATTTTACACATTTGCCATATAACCATAAAATAAACCGCTTTTAAATGATGGCCTACCATGAGACTTTCAGTGTACGCCTAACTTTGCATGATCCACCTTTCTAATCAGTTTTTGATGTTGTCTACCTTTTTAACATTTCACATGTAAGTGACATTGTGTGCTTTGAAGGCCATTTTGTCTCTTCATAACAGCCTCTAGTTTAGAATGTTCGGTGTTGGAGTGCTGGTTTGTGCAGGAGAAGCCAGGCCGTGGAGGGGGCTTCTCTGCTGCAATGAGCCAAGAGAAATCCGTGATCTATATCAGAACAGACCCAGATAGTGAGAAGACCCAACAGAAACCTCCATCAGATATCGATCCCTCCAGAATTTACCATGTCATTGGTTAGTATTAACCTGTACAGTGTGAGCTTGCTGTAGAAGTTTTTGTCATAGTCCAAATTGTAACCTGCATGATTTGGCAATTTTTTACTCCTAAGATACAGAGTGACTAGAACTAAATATAGATACCTGGGTTGTAGTGTACTACAAAAAGGTTTCAGCATATGGTAACACTGTCCACCAATTTCACAGTAACTGTACTTTAAATCTTTCAGATGCTGCTGCCACTTTCTGCAGCTCTGCCCTCCAGCCACCTGAAGGCTCTCTAACCAGACCTCAATGTGAGATAAACCCATTCACTCCTCAAGCGTCTATGGTTAAATGGGCTGCAGCACTCACTGAGACAGCCAAGAGCCCCACCTACCTGGATGCTGATTGGTTTTCTGTAGCAGCACAGGGCCTTGATGGACAGCTAACACTGTCCAATGTGATGCGAGCTTCATCTGCTTCTAGGGAACCAAGTGGTAAGGTGGTTTTGCATATTTTGCGTGGGCTTGTTTGCACAAGGTTGAACAGAAAATAAGATCATGAACATTCTATTTATTCTTTGATGTATATTTTAAATTCTGTATAACCCACTAATGTGCACTATGCCTGACCTAGTTTATTAGGAGACCCATCATTTGTCAAATCAGAGAGAAATGTATTTTTTTTTCTGAACTTTATTCAGATAATATTAGCTATTAAGCTGTGGAATGGAAGTGAGCAGACTTGCAGAATTTAAGGCTAAGTTAATTAATCTCTCTCTCTCTCTCTCTCTCTCTCTCTCTCTCTCTCTCTCTCTCTCGCTTTCATTCTTTCTGTCTCACTTAGTAATCCTTAGTGTCTCCAGTAAAACTGCCTCAATCCGCGCTAGACTTGGGCAGCCAGTTCTTTTAGACTGTGGGTTCTGGGTAGACCCATCCTCCCCACTTTACGGTTCTGGCTTTGCTGTGGAATGGCGCTACCAGTTCCGTGGTGAAGGGAGGCTGATTATAGCCTATGATGGCAAGAGTGATCGCTTTGCTGAGACATTGGAGACAGGTGCTGATTTGGACATCACCGCTCTTTATAAGTCAGGAAACGCATCACTGGTACTGGAAGAGGCTCAAGTAAGGCATTCTGGGACCTATATCTGCACCATTTATCTACCACACCTTCTGGCTCAGGTGGCCATGGAACTGGAGATAGTTGGTATGTTTTTTTGACATTTTGTTATTGAATATTAGAGACATGTCACATTAAATTGGATAAGATTTTTTTACACTTGGTTATAAAGGGCCATAGTGCAGTTTAGTGTTTTTCCTGCTCCCACATGCCTGATTCAACTCATAAAGGATCTAATAAAATGCCGAGTTAGTTGTTACAGCAGAGAAAACGCCACAATGCTGGCTGTATCCAAAGTCCTATTCAAGTTAAAAGTAGTAACTACGTGTCTTCATAAACAAGAATAAACAACAAGATTGATCCATAGTAAAAATGTTGCCTCAACTGCATTGTATGTCATACACACACTGATGTTTTGTGTTAAAATATTATTTGTCTTAAACTCTAAGGACTACACTCCACACTTCAATTACTCACTCTTATAACAATATAAAGTGTCCTCCACAAATATCGGCATCCCTGGTAAACATGAGCAAAACAGGCTGTAAAAAACATTCTTTATTGCTTATCTTTTTGATATTTCCTTCAAAATATTAACAAAAATCTAACCTTCATATGAAGTACAACCCTGTTTCCAAAAAAGTTGTGACGCTGTGCAAAATGTAAATAAAAATTAAATGCAATGATCAAATGGATCAAAATGTCAAATGTTGAAACTAGATATTTTATTGTTTTTTGAAAAATATATGTCCATTTTGAATTTGATGCCAGCAACAGGATCCAAAAAAGTTTGTGACAGGGGCATGTATACCACTGTGTTGCATCACCTCTTCTTTTAACAACACTCTGTAAATGTTTGGGAACTGATGAGATCAATTGCTATAATTTAAAAGTGAAATGTTTTACCAATTTACCATTTTTGCTTGATATGGGTTTTCTCCAGATTCTCTGAATCGAATAATGATATGTACTGTAGATGATGAAATCCGCAAGTTCTTTGCTATTTTACATTGAGAAAAATCTTGAATTGTTGCACTATTTACCTGCGCAGTCTTTCACATAATGGTGAACCCATTATCATCTTTACTTCTGAAAGACTCACTGGGATGTTCTTTTTATACCATCATGTTACTGCTCTGTTGCCAATTAACCACCAGGTGGTTTTTTTTTTTTTTATCATTACACACCTCTACCAACTTTACAACTTTTGTTACCCCATCCCATCTTTTTTGAAATGTTAATTGGTAACAGAGCAGTAACATGACAGGGTATAAAAAGAGCATTCCAGTGAGTCTTTCAGAAGTAAAGTTGATAAGGGGTTCACCACTCTGTAAAAGAATGGCATCAAAATTAAAAATTGGCATATATTAAAAAAAAACCCAATAAATTTTCTCAGTTTTATCATTTGATATGTTGTCTTTGTACTAGTTTAAACTAATATATGGGGTTTAAATGATTCATGCATCGTTGCATTCTGTTTGTATTTACATTTTGCACAGATCACAACTTTTTTTAAAATGAGGTTGTGCAATGATTGAAAAAACCTCCCTAAATTTCACCAGGAAATGAATTTTTTTTTTCAAATCTTTGTGCACCACAATTGTTGACACCCCTTCATTTAATACTTTGTTCAACCTCCCTTTGCAAAGATAAGTTTTCCAAGGTCCACACAATATTACAGATTCACCCCCATATGTCACTGTGGGGATGTGATTCTTTTCTGCATGGCTATCTTTGTGTCCAAACCAAACCCACTTCTTGTCTTTGTTGCCAAAAACCTCTATTTTGGTCTCATCTGACCATCGAACACTGCAACTTCCAGTAACGTTTGGCAACCTGAGGGGCTTGATTTTGTTGGTCCTTTACAACTGAGGTTTTCTTCTGGCAACCTCCACAAACAACTTGTGGTTATATAGGTGGTGTTTGATTGTGGTTTGGGAGATGTTTTGACCCCAAAACCTAACTAGTTTCTGCAATTTCCCAGCAATGATCCTTGGAGATTCTTTGTCTACTTGAACCATCCTCCTCACTACACTATAGACATATGTCACTATAGACATACGTCCTCTTTCCAACAGATTCTTAACATCTCCTGCTGCTTTAAACTTCTTAATTATTACCCTCATGGTGGAAACTGGTATTTTCAACTGTTTAGATATTTTCATGTAGCCATTTCCTAATTTTGTGCAGCTCAACAATCTTTTGTCACAAATCACTGCTGTATTCCCCGTTCTTTCTCACAGTGATGGTTAGCTGAGGGAATTTGGCCTGTATTCTGTCTTATATATATTCCCTATTGAAACAGGAAAGTGGCCATTTAAGTGTTCCTAATGACTCAAGTGAACTTTATAACCAAAAATGAGTGGGAATATATAAGTAGGAATGTACATTTCACTCTTTAGAATTTCAAGGGGTGCCAACAATTCTGGCACACATATGTAAGAAAAATGTTTATTTCATTAATCAAGATTTAGTTTCTTCTTTCTTCCGTAATACCTTAAATAAAGGTAACTTTGTTCTAATATTTTGAATGAAAGATCAGAAGGATAAGTAATTAAGAATATTTTTACAGCTCATTTTGCTCATGATTATCAGGGGTGTCAATATTGGTGGAACATACAGTAACTTACATATCTTACAAATCTTAAGATTGAAATAAATAAAAAGACTACTGTTTAAGTAGTTAATTAAAGTTAGTTAATAATGAATTGTATAAACAATAAGAAACAGCCATTGCTCATGCTTTTTGCTTGTGTTTAAAACCTATCCATTGTCTCACTGACTTACTAATCATTAGCTTTATTAATTTAAATTTTATTCTTCGTCTGGCTGTGTCTTTGCCTCCCCTTTCTCCTCACAGAGCCTCCATCTCTTGCCATCTATCCGTCCCCTCTTCCCCTCTCTGCACCTGAGCAAGTGGTGTCAGTTCAGTGTGAGGCTTCAGGTTTTGCGCCTCTTTCTCTGGACCTGGCCTGGGAATTCACGGGAGCTGATGGTAAAAGGCGATCCCTTGGGCAAGGCAGCGTGACAGGTCACAGGCAGGCCGCTGATGGTACCTACAGCCAAAGCACTCGTCTAGAGCTGGAGTCCACCAAGCTGGGGCTTGGCCGTGGTGGTGAAGTCACCTGCGTGGCCTATCACCAGGGAGGATCTAGACGGGCTAGTGTGACACTGAACATCATTGGTGAGTTATCTGATGAGTACCTTCATGCTAATCATGATGTTATTGCTGGGTGGAAAAAGGCAACATTATGTTATTGCTGTATCACAATCTGTTAGCAAGGGATGTGAAGACAGATAGAGGGGAAGAAGGGCTGTGAAGATGGGGTGGTGTGATTGGGTGTTATATTTTGTACACTGTTTTTGATTTTTTAGTTTTTTTTTTTTATTGTTAAAATGTTATATCTGCCTGATGCAAGAACTTTTAATTACCTTCTTAATTACAGATTTCTTTAAAAATGTATTCTGTCTTTGTTTTTCAGGTGTCAGTGCTCCTTCCATAGAGGACTCCATGGCAATGGTTGCTGTGGCACTTGTGCTTTATGGTGTAATAAAGGTTTTTTTCTGGACTTTCAAATCTACAGGTACACTACACTTCACTGTATGTTTATTAGGCTGCAAATTGAATTTGAATTTGAAAAAGGTAAACAGGAAAACTTTAGCTTGATACAGGATACTACAACATTTTTACAACTTTTGGGAATCTGTATTTCTGCATGAATGGCTTTTAAAATGTGATCTGGGCCTTTATTCATGAAGCTTCTCAGAGTAGATTTATCCTTTGAGAACACAGGCCCAGATCTTTATCTATAATCTACAGTAATAAAAAACATATAAAAACAACATGCACAACATTAAAGCTATATTTCTGTTGGTCAAATGATTTATACAATCAAAGTCATTAATGAAAAAGTACATGGACCTCTAGGATAGTGACCTGTTGAAAAGAGAACAACTGGAATTTCATATGAAAACACACACATTTTTGGTTACCTCCTCCTCACAGCAAAATTATGTCCAGAAAAAAAATCAGAGACTCTTAGAACAAAGGTTGTGCAGCTCAAAAAAACTGGAATGAGTTACAAGTTGTCATGAGCCCACAGGCAGTTTTTTAGCTTACAAATGCAAAGAACTCAGCATTGTTGAACTGTTTGAGAAAACAAAACATGGGCATACTGACTGAAACCTTGTTCCCGCTCTGAAGCACAGTGGAAAGAATACAATGCTGTGGGACTGCTTTGCTGCCTCAGGGCCTTGATGGTTTGCAATAACTGACAGACCAATGAATTCTGTTGTCCTGTGACAATGATCAAAAGCACAGGGGTAAATCAATAAATAAGGGTTAACTTGCTTTTTCTTTCAGTGATTTAAAGAAACATCACAATAATTTTTTTTTGTTGTTTATTAAATGAGACTATGTACTATTATTACGTAAAGCTGTATACAAATGTTTCAGTGCCCCTGGTCAAATTGCTGGTTTTGTTCATTTACTAAGTGAAATAGTACACATTCTCTGCAAAGAACATACTTCTGTACTTTTTGATGCATAATTTGCTCAATTTAGTATATTGGGGGAAAAATTAGATTTATGAGTTATGGCACATTTTGTAAAGTCTGGATTTTTTGGAACTCAGCAGAACTTGACCCCATATTTAAGTTTGTTCCTTGTAGAGGACGCGTTAGTTTATTTTCACTTAGAAAATCAATAAAACATGTCATTTGACTGGGGGTATTCAAACTTTTGCATACAAGTGTATGTTCCTATCCCTGGTCCTGCACATTTTTTCCTTGTGCCAGCACATCCACTTTTACCCAGGATAGGCTTGTTAATGAATTGATTCTTTGGCTCAGGTGTTTTGGGAGCAGGGAAAACACTAAAATGTGAAGGCAGAAGATACTCTAGTACCAGGATTGGGAACCACTGACATAGATAAGGATGAATCCACATTTTAGGAGCCATTGATGCAGAAATCTAGATTATTGCAGACGGTGTGCAAATTTTCTCACACTCATTCCTCACACTGTATTAACATGCACTGCAATACACAATCCTTCCAAGTGCTGTATGAACTATGTAAAGTTAATTTTACGTTTTTATTCCTGTGCCAATTTCAATAGATGGCAACAAACCAGACCCAAATGATAAGGTAATTTCTGTTTCCTTTACACAAAATTTATGTTACACTGCATAATCCATTTGTTCATTCCAAGTCTAGCCCAATTCATATACCATTTATGACTACCATATATGCAGCAAAATATTTGTGCTTATTTTTTTCTTTTTGACTTTTTAGAAGGACAAGTAATCTTGATGCTCAAAATTCCTGGAAGTCCTGATCTGCAGATACTGAAAGAAGCTACACCTTACTCAAAATTTTTGTCACATTCTATATTTTTCCCTAAATGCTGTAATAACCCCCTGTTCTGTCTTAGATCTACAGTGCCTGAAGCTTCTTTGAAATCACTATTAAAACACAATTTTGCAATATTGCCTTTTGTAGGATTTACAGTTGTAAGCGGTAGGTTTATGTCTGTTATTATTGCCTTTTTTATTTATCTGTTTGTAGTTATTTTATTCATTTTGGTTTTTTCAGTACTTATTCCTTATTGTTCTGTTTTTATGTCTTAATTGGGGTTTTGTTTCATTAACCGCTGCTGTTTTAAGTATGTTTTCTTGCATTGTATTTGCTTCAGTTGCTATCCTGTTTATTGTTTGGTGTTTCTTTATGACATTTAACTACTTATACTTTTGAATTCTGTTTTCCCACTGCTTCAATTTTAATTTGCTTAGATTTTTTATGATTCAGCGTTGTAAAGTACATTGAGCTGTTCCAGTTCTAAGTGCTATGTAAATAATGTTTTTATTCTAGGATTATTTACTAGCTTTTCTTTCATCTGCTCAGTCAGTGTAAGTAATACCCTCAAAATGATTGCACACATTCTAATTTGACTTGTATTTACCTGTTCAATTTCAAAGTACATGTCTGATTTGAAATGTATGTGGATGTGTTCTATTCTTAACAAGAAGCAAATCTGGTTGTAATGCACAAATTCAAAATAAAAATCTATGTAAATATTTGTGTTAGTCTTATGTATTAGTACTAATTAATAATATAAGCATAGTTATAACATTGACAAAGCTCTCGAAAGACTTTAACCAATTATTCAAGATGGTCAATGACAACAAAACTATGAATTGTTTAATGTTCGTGCTACTATCACATCATACTCATTACCAAAACAGAACATGAAAAAATAGTATTTTCAATGCATCGATGATAGTAGAGTGCATGGATGAAGTGGATCCCTTCTCTCTTTGGTCATGTAAGGGAAAAGCTTGCAGCCTAGCCAAGCATAGTCTAGCTAATCTCTTCTGAATTAAACTACAATCTAATTCGTCTTGTGCTTTGAGAATGAACAGGTTTCTGAAAGCAGATGTGTACCTAATCGCAATGGAAGTAAAGAAGAACAGAGCAATGCAAAAAAAAAAAATGAGAATAACAACAACTGTATTTTGTCTTGTTTCCTGTGTGGTGTACAAATGCCTCAGATCTTTCAGTGACTATAACTAGATACATGTGAATATACGATATCTGAACATCACAAGACTGTAAGTGAATCATTAAATTCTTGTCAGTATACAGTACATAAGAGTTGTTTTGGAGTCGTGAAACTCATTAAAACTTAATAGTTTTGTAGTTGGTGTGGAAATTATGCATTAGCTGTTTACCCTAGTCCTGTCAAATACCATCACAGCTTTCATCATAATTATAAATTAAAACTAAATCTGAAACTAAAAACTAAAATGAATAATGCACCAACTAAACTAAATCTGAAACAAAACTGAAATCAAAAACTAAAGAAATGCACAAAAACAAATTAAATAAAATCAATGAAAATTTCAGAACTATTAAGCCTCCTACCATGACATTTTCATCAATTAAACTATCACAGTAAAATATAATTGTCTAGCTAAATTACATACATGCAAAATCCAAATGAGATCATTTGTTAGGGAATTTGAGTAGTATCTTATTTGCTTTTAGTTTATTAGCTTATTAGTTTATCTGACAATAGAAAAGCTTTGACTATTTGCAAAACTCTTGTTTCATCAGAGTTAATTTATTTCTTATTTATGTATGTATGTATGTATGTATGTATGTATGTATTTTATTTCTTCATATTCTTGATTAATTACCCTCTGGCTTTTTTCTCTCTCTTGTTAACCCCCTGCCCCTTTTTCTTTCTCTTCCTCTTTCTTATTATTCTATTTGTATCCTTCCACCAAGTTCACATTCCCTGCTTTGATCAATTGTTTTGTCATTACAAATAACTGTGAAAAACGTAGAAGAAAAAAGCAAAATGCAGTTGTATTTTTTTAAAAAAAGTTTTTCTGTTCGCCCCAGATGGCGACAACGAGCACCAATTTACGGTGGGGAAACGGAGAAGAAAATGATCTAACCAATCATCTAAGAGATAACTGCAGTAGAACGAATCGAATATATCTTTCTTGAAGAGTGGAATGGGTTGCCATAACGGTGTTTTTCGTGCTGAATGTTCCGCTTATATAGTTGCAGGACTGAATGCCTGCTCTCCGCGTTTTAAAGCCATTAATAAATATATGTGAAACAGCCTAATAAAGGAGAAAATAACGATGATTGTCTAGTGTATGAGATTGGGCTTTCTTGTGTTTCCCGGTTTATATAAGTAACGTTAGTTTTATGTACACTTTTTGTTACGCTAAGGACGTTTTTCTCCAAAGACCTGGCAACCTTGGGTGTTATTAAATTCAGAATCTGGTTTCGCGAGTCGTTTGGGTAAGTTGACTTTTTGTTTTGCGTGGTTCTGTATAAACACACCATTGAGATCATGAATCTATGAAAATATACGTATGGAGTAGGTAAGGCAGACCACACGGCTTAAGTACACTATAAAATGTCTGCTTACGGTGAAGGTTAGTGATTAGTCATCCACTGTAGTTAGAACACTGCAGACCAGCTAGCTGGCAAGCTAGTAAGCTAGCTAGCTCACTGGAGAAGAAGTAGCCTACAACAAGGAAGCTAAGCGCGTTGACACTGTCGGTTGAATATTGTTTATTTTGTTTAAGCTAGCTAGGAAATGTAAATAGCACATGTGAATTAAGTTTATTTAAGCTAAATGTTGTGTACTCGAGTTGTGGTGATATCGTACTGATAAATGGCTAAACCCGACTGGTTTCCTTTTGTATTTTGTCGTTATAAAGGCACAGTAACCTACGGCTGTTAGCTGGCAAGTTACCCTTAGCTAGCTAACTAGGTATTCGTGTCACATCAGTTCCAAGGCGCACAAGCTGAATTTATGTGTTTTTGTTTTTTCCAGGTGAAAGGAGTCGGTAAAAGCCACAAAGTTGGCTCTTACAGTTAGTATGATAGCTAGTATGCGTGACTATCACCAGCTGCGAACTTGACCGATTAGTTCAGCAAACCAAAATAATAAACATTTTGGTAATTGACAGAGTATGTCGGTTGGGTTTAATATCATACTAAATTGACTGTTTGTTTATTTTCTATTAAGGTGCGCAGTAACTGTAAAGAACATTACCTTGGGTGTCACAAAATGCGTTCTAAGCAAACCTCAGTGTTTGAAGTAAGAAATTATCCCAGTTAACTTGTTATTTTTGTATAGGTCTTTTGTAATGAGTATTGTAATGAGTCATCTTTCCAGATAAGTAAAACTCTCTTGATGTTGCCAGACGAGGGTGTCAAGAGGTAGGAAAAGGAGCAGGCCAGATAAGACAAAGGGGTAGCTGACAGTAACACTGTATAAATAGTTTAGCATGACTATGGTTAAAGTAAAGGATTGTTTAATTTTAATCATGTTCTGATGACATTTTTGTTTAGACTACTCAGCAGATTTCCTCAGCTGCCCTCATTGATGCCAGGTGTCACAAAGATGATGGACAACATTGTGATCCTTGATGATGATGAAACCCAAGAACCTTCCTCGTCTACGTTACATCTTCAAACGACTTCTTGTGTGTCCAGTCCAGCTAAGGTCCAAGGGTCTAAGACAACCCACATAACACAGTCACCTTTTGGTACTGCTAAGAAGGCAGCCCATATCTTGAAAGTAGAGAATGAGAAGCTCTTTGAAGAGGTAGGTGTGTGTGCCTGACTGTGCATCTATGCGTGTGTGTAGAGAGCAGAGGTCTCTTAAAGAAAGGCCAGATTCACTTAAACGTGCCTTGTCAAGCGCTCTTAGGTAAGTCATCTCAGGCTTTAGCCTAGGTGTTCTTGTTTCTGTTTCAGTTTCCGATTAATCATAAGATATCTATATTTTCTACAGCTATCCAATATCGGTGCATTCAGTGTCATGTCACACTCTCAGCTCCTAGCTAGACCTCTAGTCTTATTAGTAGTTTATGCAGCAACATGGATGCAGTCATTGTTTTTTTTTTCCAAGTTTGTTCAGAATATTGAATTTTAAACCCATTGTGTAGAGTCAAATTAAATGTGAGAAACACACTTGGTGTGAACAGAACCGCTGATTTAACCTACTAGAACACATCAGTGTAATAGCACCAAATAACTATAAATACAACTGTCACAGCAATACAATAAAAAGTAGCCTGCACTTGCCCTTAAGCAGTATCTAGCTGTGTTTTGAGTTCTCTTAATTCTTGTCGCCTGATGGATCAGTGGTATGGGAGGAAAGGCATATAGAAGCTCTCTTGATCATGAGTGCGTCAAGCTCCTCAGTGTCATTTTGAATTGAATACCAGTGAGGTCAGTGCGTCGTGCACTGTAAGGCTGACAGGTCAATGCATCCTTGCTTGAAGCTGAAGTAAACTGCTCCCACCTCTTATAGGGCTGGGCGATTAAAACGATAAGTATTGAGATATAATTTTCCTCGATAGAACTATAAGAAATGTTTGATAAATTTTCGATATAATACACCATTCTCGCACTTCCACATTCTAGCGACTGACCGGGTGGCATTTTCTACTGCAAGGAAAGCGACACTTCTCTGCTGTCGCCAGGAGAGGGCGCACTACCGAGTTTCTCAACATGATTAGAGAGGGAGGGGGTGACGAGTAAAATCATTCGCCAAATATACTTTAGCAACGTCTAAAATGTGGAGTTATACAAGCAAGCAAGCAAGCCAAGTTTATTTATATTGAGCTTTTTACAACAGGTGTTGTCACGAAGCAGCTTTACAGAAAAATCAACATTACAGAAAAAAAATCTGGGTCCAAGCCCCCATGAGCAAGCCAGTGGCGACAGTGGCAAGGAAAAACTCCCTAAGAGCAGGAGGAAGAAACCTTGAGAGGAACCAAGACTCAGAAGGGGAACCCATCCTCCTCTGGTCGACACCGGATAGCAAACATTGTTAGTATAAAGTATTACAAAAAGGGGAAAACAGGTGAAGCAATGGTTAATTTTATCAGTTTTAGTTTATGCAGCAGCAGCATCGGGAGGGTCAGTTCATGAGGGTGAGGTTTGCACAGCGCTGTACAGTATGAAGCTCAATGGTGGTCAAGCCGGTCCAGAAGGCTGGCGAGCAGCGGGCACCCGATCAAGGCAGAAGAGGCAACAGCATCAGATGCACAGGATGGGCAGCTGTTCAACTCGGCAAAAAAGGAAAACACACAGAGAGTCAGTGCTGTAATGAGTGACTGATCACAGATTACAGTATTAACAGAGCAGCAGAGACTCCGTCAGGTCTAGATCTGACAGGGAAAACTAATTACCAAACTAATAAACTAATATCAAAGCTGGGGGGCTTTGTATGATGTAACTTTATTAATTCTTGGTACTAATAGTAAGCCAGCACCTTGTGATCTAAGTAGGCGTGATGGTTCATAGTAGGATAGAAGTTCACACAGGTACTGAGGGGTGAGTCCGTTTAGAGCTTTATAGGTCAGTAAGAGAATTTTATAATCAATGCGAAATTTAACTGGTAAACAGTGTAGGGTTGATAAAACTGGGCTGATATGGTCAAATTTTCTGGTTCTAGTAAGGACTCTGGCTGCAGCATTCTGGACTAACTGAAGCTTGTTAAGGCTTTTGCTGGAACATCCAGACAGCAGGGCATTACAGTAATCTAGCCTTGAGGTAATAAATGCATGGACTTACTTTTCTGCATCCTGTAGAGATAATACATTTCTTAATTTAGCAATATTGCAGAGATGCAGGAAGGCTGTTCTAGTAATATTAGTTATATGTGCGTCGAAGGACAGATCAGGATCTATCATGACACTAAGATTTTTTATACAGATGAAATTAATGCAACTGAGAAATTGTTAAGTTTAGTGTAAAATTAGACAGTTTGTTTCTAGCTGCTTTTGGACCAAGAAGCAGAACCTCTGTTTTATCCGAGTTAAGTAGGAGAAAGTTACTCGACATCCTGTCTTTTATGTCTTTTATACAGTCCTCAGTCTTGCTAAGTTTAATTTTATCATCCGGTTCGCTTGATATATATAACTGAGTGTCATCTGCATAACAGTGGATATTTGTGCCATGTTTACTGATAATGGTGCCCAGTGGTAGCATATATATTGTGAATAATATAGGTCCTAAAACAGCCTTGTGGAACACCATACTTTACTTTTACAAGGACAGGTGATTCACCATTTATATTAACAAACTGATAGCAATCAGTGAGGTAAGACCTGAACCAGGAAAGAGCTGTTCCTGTTACTCCTACAAGGTTTTCTAGTCTATCTAGTAATATAGAGTGGTCTATCTTGGCAAATGCTGCACTAAGATTGAGGAGGACTAGCAAAGACACATTTCCTTGGTCAGAGAATAATAAAAGATTGTTTACAATTTTTACTAGTGCTGTCTCTGTACTACGATGTGGCCTAAAACCAGACTGAAATTTTTCATGTATATGATTCGTATACCAATAGGAACTTAATTGTTTTGCTACAACTTTTTCCAAGATTTCCTTAGATATAAAGGGGAGATTCGTGATAGGTCTATAATTTGATAACTTGCAGGGATCAAGGTTAGCTTTCTTAATCAGCGGTCTAATTACTGCTAGTTTAAGAGTTTTTGGGATGTATCCAAGGCTAAGAGAGGAGTTTATTATTGACAGAATAGGCTTGGTTATTTCTGAGTAAACCTGTAGGAATCGGATCTAGCATGCAAGTAGAAGATTTTGTGGAAGAAACAGTTTTAACTAGATCATTTTCTTGAAGTAAGGTAAATGATTCCAGCCTCTCTGCAGTAATTATAATATTCTCAAGATTTAGACTGGCATTATAAGGCAGCAGGTTTGTAGAGTTTAATTGTGTATTCTGAATTTTCTGTCTAATTTTTTAAAATTTATCACTAAAGAAATTCATAAAATCATTGCTGCTATAGGCTAATGGCATCTGGGGTTCAGTAACTGTTTTGTTCTTCCTTATTTTAGAAATTGTGCTAAATAGTAATTTAGGATTATTCTTATTGTTTTCTATGAAAGAGGAGAGATAGGTTGAGCTTGCTGTAGCAAGTGCTCTTCTATAGTCTATAAGGCCCTCCTTCCAGGTGGACTGGAACACTTCTAGTTTAGTCAGGCGCCATTTTCACTCTAGTTGTCTGACAGTCTGATCATTATACCAAGGTGCGAGTTTTTTCTGCCTTACTATTTTACTTTTTAATGGAGCCACACTATCTCGCGTAGATCGAAAAGTATCCTCCAAGAACTTGGTCATAATATCTAAATTATACATACAGGGAGTTATACATTCCCTGCTTGAGTTGAGCGATCGGCGATCTGTTCTCCTGTGACCAAGTGTGAGTGACAAGATAAGTGGCGTAACTGGCTTAAAGTGAACTAACCTCTGTCCTAACATCCTAACCAGCTTAAGCAGCGTTAAATCACGTCTGCTTCACACACGTACAGCCCTCAGACAGTCATATTTAAGTATTAGTGCATTCCTAAGCAACAAAAGTGAAAGGAAAAAAGTGAGTTTGTGCAAGATAAAGCCCTCATTTAAACGAAAGTAAACTGAGGAAGTTGTGAGGCATTGAAGAGCGGGAGAATGCTATCTTTCCAGGCTAGTTGTTTTTAGCAGCTGGCTAACTTGAAGCAGCGCAGGGTCACTCGCACAACACGACAAATTGATGATACTGCAGATCAGACAAGACACAAAAGCAGCGCTTTCAGTTTAAACGTACCTAAAAGGAGGACTCTGTTTGTCAGGTGTTAGATATATTGCGGTTCACCCCACAAACTACTGTAGAGGAATCCAGACGTCTGCTAGCTGGTGTCTGAATACTGTGATATACTCTGACATGGATGTGGTAGAAGTGATTGCAGTAAGGTGGTGTGATCCATCATTGTACTTAACTAATGTTTGCTGTTCGTACTAAGCTGACATTGTAGAGAAACTAAACAGTTTAGCACCGTTGTTGGCCACTTGTTTAGCATTTGTAACGGCATAGCCTAGCACTCGTCACCAGACAGCTAAAAATAATCTGTTCTCTTTCTTAAATTATGACTATTACAAAAATTGCGGCCATGCTTTTCCAGCTGGTAAAACAGCCAAACAGATACTTTCTCCCACTATCCCAAGACAGATTTGTTAAATGTTCCACTGTCTGGTGAGTGTCTGTCTGTCATGTTCTGACCATAAATGGTTTAAAACAGCGATTAACCACCCAGGAGCAAAAATCAGCCTTCAAACATGAAAGAAATAATGATCTGACATTTATCACGATATGTATCGATATCGAACAATATAAATGTTGTTTATCATGATAACATTTTTGGCCATATCACCCAGCTTTAACCTCTTGTAGTTAAATGCCCCTCTCTGCAGCGTGAAGATGGCCTCTTGACTGTAGGCTTGAGCAGGTGCAGCAAGTGTCAGGAATGCCACTAGACTGACTTTACTGTCAGAGGCTATATTACACAAACATCTTAATTCTGAAATCTTATCTGTTTATTCACTATGACAACTTCAGATATGACTGAATTTAGGACAGTAGCTATTGCAGAACAACAGTTCTTAAATTCATTGTTTTATCCTAACAACAGATAAAAAAACAGTATTACAGAAACATCATAACTAGACAAAATTTCCTAAATACTCTCCTAACTCTAGGACAACCACAATGGTGTCCTACTTTCTCTTTTAACTGTTTGTTTCTGTTTTTAGGCAACTGTTATAGGTAGCATAGTTCACTACTAGCATAATGATGTAACTTTTGTTCAAAACGGTGCTTTCAATTGTGAGATTTTTTTTCTTTCTAACTTTAATTAAAAAAATATATATATATTTTAAAAATCCCAGACACACCAGACTCATTCTCCACCATCCCCGCTTACTATCTTCATGTGTTAAGGTAATGAAAATTGATCAGATAAAATATCACAGTGATGGTGGTGAATAATGAGGAGAAATATGCCCCATCAGGGGCAGCAGTCATCCAGAAAAGCTTTAGATTGTCCATTGCCCCACCCAGCACCTCCATCAATTACTAATCATTCCTCTCAAGACCTCTCTCCGCCTCTTCCTTCTCCTCTGAACTATGTGTCTCCTCAATACTGGTGTTATGCCCATTGTCTTCTGTTGTTGTCCATGAAAGTCTGCTCTTGGCCAAATTTAGGTTGCTGAAGCAGCAATATGACTGCCATTGGCTGTACTACTGTGCTTGGTAATAGCCATGAGGAGCTGCACCTGATATTAAAAAGAAGCCAGGAAGACCAAATACAGACAGAATAACAGGACAGAGAGAGATGCACTTGCTGTATTAAATGCATTTCTTGAAATTCTTTTCAACCAAATGGTAGTTTGATGAGACACAGACCATTATCAAGAAAGTTTATACTTGGGACTTACAGCTACTGCAATATGTTAGTGATGGTTAACTGTTTGGTTATTAATGATTCTTTTTTGGTGCAGCAAGTGAAATCTGCACCCTCAGCATCACTCACTGGTTCTCTATTTGTCTGATCCTCATCTAGTTTGTGGCACACTGCACAGTGCACACCCAAGACCATCCAGAGGTCGTGACATTCTTGCAGACAAAGTACTCAAAGGCCTCCCCTGACTTCCTGATGTCAGTGGAGTTCCGGAATGCTCTGGGTCGTTGCCTAACACGAGCCCAGGCCAACACCGCCAAAACCTTTGTTTACATTAATGAGCTCTGCACCCTTCTCAAGCAGCACTCGGCCAAGAGGAGGGCCCTCATCCAGCCTCCCAATCTCAAAAAGGAGAGTGAAGACAAAGGGGAGAAAGGGAACATAGAGGAAAAGGACCCGTCTAAATCAATTGAGCCAGAAGAGTTGGGGGAGGAGAAGAAAACTAAAAGAGCTTCGAGGAGACAGGTATAAATAGGCTTATATTTTTATCTGATTAAAGAATTACTTTTTTCCTGAAATAATTTATGGATGCAGCCATAAATAATAAATAGGGTCTATAAGAAGTTTCCACACCTGGTTACTTTGATGTTAAGTGGAAAGGATCGCTGCCTTACTTTCCCCTGTCAGTATACTCTATGAAAAATTATGTCTGAGGCAAATGTGTGTGACTAGTCCATACCCAACTACAGATCGGCAGAATTGTTGATTATGAAAACTAAAGAAGCCACTCTACACAGTTATTCAATGCCAAATCAAAGGTATTCAATACATCGGAACCAGATCTTGAAGCCACTGTAAAAGTATAAACAGGGAGATACATGTTTCTTTGTAATGGAAATGACTTAATCTTCTCAGGAAAAACCTACTTTTATCCACATTGACTATTGAAATGCATTTCTCACAGGACTTACACCTACAACAAATAAACCAAAACTTGCAAAATGCAGCAGTTGGAATACTAACATATACTAGAAAACAAGATCATTAGACCAGTTTTAGCTCTCCACTGGCTGCTTGTTTCTTTTATAATTAAATGTAAAATTTTACGACTAGTTTTTAAATGTCTTTGGTAGAGCACCTTTATACATCTCTGAATAAACTATGTTCCAAATTATGTCATAAGATTATCTAATGTACGAAATTTAAAGAGTGGTGAAGAAGCCTTTTGTTTTTGTGCAACATCTTGAACACATTACCAGTAAACATTTGTCAGACTCCTTCTATAATTGATGTTTAAAAAAACTGCCAAAATTTATGCCTTCACTTTAGCATTTAACTATTTTCAAAATTTGTATGTTGCTTTTACATTTTAATTGTTATGCTCATTTGTGTTTTTCATATATTTTTTTCCCATGGTTTCTTTCATTTAATACATTTTAATATAACATGATTATACAAACCACATATAAGGTGCTATATAAATAAAGTTATAATTATTATGTATTAACATAACATCTCTCTCGCTTTCTCGCTGTCTCACTCACATATTGATTCTCACACTCAGATAGCGTACCTGGAGAACCTGCTAAAGGTTTATAATGATGAGATCAAACGGCTACAGGAGAAGGACTTGAGTTTGGAGGATCTGGAGACGGAGGACTGCAGTTACATCCAGGAGCACAAGCTCAAACGTAAAGTTAGTGTTCTGTTAATCTTCACTTATATAATATCACTTACTTAACAGCAGAAGTTTATGGCTACATCTTTTTTCACCATTATTGCTGTCTGTTTGTGATTGCTTGAATGTAATTCAATTTAAAAATCAACATCCTAAAACATCATTGGTATACCCTGCCAAAATTCATATTAAGCTAAATAGCTTTAGCTTGAAATGGCAAAGAAATTATATAAATTGAACTAGAGCTGAAAACAATCAATGCATGTTTTTTGAGCTAATGGCAACACGGATGAGCAAATTAGAAGGCCACAGCGTATGGTGAGAGGGTTACCACAAATTATTTTTAGTAGAAAACCTGTGTGTTTGTGGTGGAAATTTTCTGAATATATGCAGCATCATATGGAATAACTATCTGTTGCAGCAAGGAAACAGAGGTAAAAAACTGGTGATGACTGTAATCCCCAGTGTTGTGACTGAACCTAGGCCTATTTTTTGTCTGATTTTTGTTTCTAGATGATGAAGATCTATGATAAACTGTGTGAGCTGAAGGGCTGCACCACATTGACTGGCAGAGTAATAGAGCAGAGAATTCCCTACAGTGGCACACGCTACCCTGAGATCAACAAGAAGGTATTACTTTATTTGCTCCAATTTAGAGTAGTGCGCTAGAACAGTTACACTAGCTCATTAATGTGTAAACTGGTGTGTACAACTTGGAGACCAACCTGCATGGTTTTGTTTTTTTTTTTCCTGCACCTTAGTTTTTAGGTTTTTCTTGAAAAGAATCAGTTGTGTTAGAGCAGGAAAAATATGCAGTTCAAATGGGCTTCCAGGATTGCAGTTTAGAAACACTGATGCAGAAGACGAATGACTGGATATTTTTTATTCTGTAATAGCTTAGCAACTGTTGAATTTGAGGAAACGTTTTGTTACATCTGTTTTCCATTTGTGTTATAATTCTTTTGGTTTTTTTTTCTTCTCTCTTTCTTCCCTGTCCTTTCTTTTTTTTTTCCAACCCTTTGCTCAGATCGAGCGATTCATAAACAAGCCAGAAACCCAGCAGAATCCTCCAGACTACACTGATATCCTACAAGTGGTGAAACATGCTAATGAACGTTACAATCTCTTGCTCAGCCGAAAGCAGCAGATGCAGATTGCACAGGAGGCGTTCCGCGAGACGGGGAACAGGCTGCAAGAGAGGCGGCACCTGGACATGGTCTACAACTTCGGCTCTCACCTAACAGACCTCTATAAGCCCAGTAATTTACCTTGGCACAGGAATTCACACCTCTATAAATGGTTATCATCAGTGTCTGTTGAGATAGAACAATTCTAGTAAACACTTTAAAGACACAAGAAAGAAACAAATGTAATACATGGTAATAGAATCCTATAAATATCCTGTCGACCATACATGTACCTAATAGACTGCTATACCAGTTGTAAGTTCTAGTACTGCTCCTGATGTACTCAAAGTTGCAGCAGGTCTGCTACTTTTCATACATTGTGGCCACCTCCTTTGGCATCTTCTCAGGCAGTGCTGAAGTCTTTGTCTCTTATTTCCCTAGCCTCAGACCCTGCCCTGTCTAACCCAGTGTTGGCTCAGAACCTGCGCTCCAACAGAGAGGTAGCTCTCACGAGGTTGGAGGAGGTCATCAATAAATATGCCTATAAACAAGATGATACAGAAGAAGAGGAGAGGCAGAAACGTCAGGAGAAAGAGAGACAGAAGAAAGAGGTGAGAGTTAAACAGGAGGGTTTAAGGCTGTAAACGGAACTTGAGAAGTGAGGATGTCTGTAGAATTTTTCTTTTTCTTTTTTGTCTTAACGTTTGTTTGACCCAAGCCTGATTTGACCTGACTGCTTATGCCTAGTTCTGATGTCGTTTCTGGCTCAGGTTAGGGTCAGATGTTATATTCTTAATTCTCACGTCCCTCGCATTTTCAACAGATTTTACCCTGTATTTTGGCCACTATATTTTTTTTCTCCCTGCTTTCATTACCTTGAAACATTTTGTGGAGTCAGCACTATGCAGATGAATTAAACATTTAATCAGTTCGGGAGAGTGCAGTGTTCAAAACCAGGATTTCAGTGTTGGAGTGTTCAAAACCAGAATTTATACTTAATTTTGGACATAGTTTATCATATTATTAGGGTTTAAGCCTGCAGTGCTTAGAACCTTATTGGAATCCTTAGGATTTTTCTTCTTCTTAAGATTTTTCTTATTAGGGTTCAAGCGCACAGTGTGTAGAACTACTCTGGCGCACAACATGAGCCCATTTGGCCTAAAGGGGGTGCTATTGCACAGCATAACGTGGTTTTTAGAGACAAAATTAATTTTTTTCCTGATTCCTTGGGTCAAGACAAACTACTTTTGCCAACTAATCCTAGGGTTTTGCTTACTCCCCGTGGAACTGGTGTCAAAAAATTCACAAGAGCCTAAAACTTCAATAATTATTAAAAAAAAAAAAAGGCATTTATAAAGAATGTGGCTGCCATATGCTGATGAACCCTTTTGGAATAATTCATAATTATTTGAAAAATCCATTACTTGATAATCCTTTGTCCAAAAATTTGAAACTTGAGGGGCTGTAACTCCCAAATAACTGTTTCTAAGCATCCGTACATCCGATCCAGCTGAAATTTTGCAGGTAACATTCATAAGACAGACTATTAGTGAATATTTAAGGTCAAACTGATGCATTGATTTTTCAGCCAATCAGCTTTCAGCAGGCATTTTGACAAGCTTACCATTGACCAGTCATCATGAAACTTGAATGGTGTTTCCAAGTAGGCACTTTCTAACAATAAAGTTTCACAAGATTTGGCCATTGGGGATGCTATAAAATCAAACAATTATTATGTATTACATGTACATATTTCTATTTATAGTCACATAATTGGTTTCGTATAATGTAGTGCAGTTACAAACGTGTTAAAACAAGCGTAGTTTTTTTGCAGTTGTTAACTCTTTGAGAACCACACTTTTCAAACTAGTCTCTGGGTTTTAATCCAAACCTTTTTGATCTAGAAATACTCTGTGGCCTCTATAGGTAAATAATTATTTTTTAAAAAATAACTTTTTTTTTCTCATTGTGATCTTGCTCTTTCAGTTAATCTCTGCGGCCATGGCACTGTAAGCTTAAATTGTTAAAATTTATCAGTCATCAGACTGGTAATCTCAAAATTGTCATCAGATCATCTCAAAATTGTCATCAGATCATCTCAAAATTGTAGACCATTATATACATTGAGACTGATGAGGTTTGCAAAATTTGGTCCAGACTGGCCTTTAGGGGGTGCTTTAGCACTCATAAACCATTAAAATCATGAAAATTGCTATTACAAAGTTTACAGATAAACAATTGGTGCCATGTGATTCAGTTCACTGACCTGAATAGCTTTGTAATTGCATGTTATGTCATAAATTGGACTCCTTGTCTGGTATTTTGACTTATTCATTCAATGACTATAGCTTATTATACAAAGGTCAAAAGGTCAATCTGAACAAAACTCAGTGAACAGCTGTGTTGAAGGTCCCTGATCAATTTCGTAACATATGGAGACATTTTGACCAATTCTGACTAACTTTTGCTTAGCTCCTGTATGCCAAAAGGGCCCCTTATGGGTACGTTGGGCATCATTATGGCATGCATATCAGAGGGTTAAACATGGACAAACAAACCACTTTGCAGACTATGATAGAAATTTCACCATCATTCATATATTTTTGATATCTACATTGACATCTTTTGCATGTTGTTCAAATCTAAATCAGTACATATGAACGTAAAAGACCACTGCTCGTTGTTTATGCCAAATGAAGCCCTTTTCATAAGCTCTGACATTCTTTTCTCTCTACCTATAAATAAGGACCAAACTGCATTAGGCCTTGTTAGGACTAATTGGCTTAAACTGCATAAGGGCTTACTGTGCTGATGAGTGCTTGGACCTGCTATTTGCAGTTTGCGACTATATTTAGGGTTCAAACATGCAGTGTTTTAGAATCCTATTGGAATTGTCAAGATTTTTCAGGTGCACAACATGAGCCCAATCGGCCTAAGGCGGGTGCTATTGCGCACCACCACGTTTGGCCCTGTAACTTCCAAAACACATTTTCCTGGTTACTTGGGTCAAGCCAAACTAATTTGCAGTTTGAACCTTTTTGCTTCACCTACTTAGATTTTTCAGACATTTGCATAATATGTGAAACCTCCTTTTGCGAACTAGTCCTAGAGTTTCACTCAATCCACATGTAACAGGTATCAAAAAATTCAAAAGTTGACTATTTTATGAGCAATATGGCTGCCTTATTCCAATGAACCCTTCTGGAATAATTCAGAATTATTTAATATTAAATGTTAAAATTGGAGAATGCTTTATCCAAAAAATTGAAACTTCAGAGTTTTATTCCCTGGCAGATTATGAGGTAGCGTATCAATTCTAGTGCACGTACATTGTTAAAGGTGCTGTAAATGCTAAAAAACTGCTTCTCATCATCCGTACATCTAATCAAGCTAACATTTTGCAAGCAGCATTTGTAAGAAAAAGTGAATTTCTTATGATAATTTTAAATTAATGGCCACCATCAGCCAGTTAGCTTTTAGCAGATATTTAAAAGGCTTAACATTGACCAATCATCATGACACTTCAAAGGTGTGTCTATAAAGGCATTTTCTAACAACCAGGGAAGATTCAAAAGAGTTGGCCGCTAGAGGTGCTATTCTGGAAAATCAAGTATATTTTAGTGTGCGTGGTGCTCAAACACACTAAAATCATTAATACAATGTTACTATTCTTATTTATTATTCTTTCTAAAGGCCACCATCATTTTTACAGGGTTTTTTTGGGGTTTTATTTTGGGTTTTTTTGGGGTTTTATTTTGTTTTTTTGTTTTTTTACTTATTAACAATCTAATGACTGCTTTTATCATCATTATGCAGGAACATAACTTAATCTGGTTTTATTTGACACTTCGGGTAATGAGCCAAGTCAACTTAGTGCTATGGGTCAGGTCGAGCTCAAACAGAAAATTATGAGACTTTATTTGGCTTTGGGCCAGAATTTTAGGCTGATTAAAGGTATATAAGGCGTATATGACTTGGCTGAGTACAGACTTACTGGCCTAATTATTGTTGACAGAAAAATATGTAGTTGCTGAACAGTCAACATCTTTTGCTACTTTTCTTATTAAAACTTACAGTAGAACTTAATTACTTTTGCCTCCTTTAAAACATGGCCAGCATAATGTCACAAAAGCACAAGAGAATGAGAAGGAAGAAGATGAGCAAGAAGAAGAGGAAGAGCAGGAGGAGGAAGAGGAAGATGAAGATTCTTCAGACCCTGATATTGAGGAAGAGATCCAGGCCAGTGAGGCACAAGTGGGGCCAGGTGAGAAATAGATATGGAGGAAGGGGAAAAAAAGATAAATTTCTATTTTTATTGTGAGGTATGCTTAGTGTCATAATCTTGACAGAATTAACTTACATAGCGAGACACTGACACTGTTACAGTTTCATCATGCAGATAGCTGCGATAGCTGCTCACCTCTAATTAGCAACACTTCTACTGTTCTTTATTGTTTCACTTTGAAGCAAAACATGGTTAAACACAGAGTACTTTCTACATATTAAGTATTCTGCTTACAGTACCGAACATTTTCAGGGTTCTTGCATGCCCTGGAAAACCTAGAAAATTAGAATCTTGCTTTGCAGTAATGCAAAATACCTGTAAATTGAGAAAATTATTAAAAAGTTAACTAAAGTGTGTGCTTTGACACACTGCCTGAAGTAATGAAAATGTTGTATGGAATCTTCTCTTTTTTAAAAATATGTATTTTACAGCCCCTTTTAATTTATCATAGCAGTATAAACGTTAAAAAAATTCCCCAAATCTTACATGGTATATCCTTAAAAGTAGGGGTGGTCATGATATGCATCACAATGTTTAGTTTTTCTGAGGTTTGAGGATTTGGAACAACCATTTATTTGTGATGTATTAAAAAAAAACTACTGTCAAAAACAATGCATTGAATGATTTTTAATAGGACTTCACTGATATGGGAATTCTGAGCAGGTGAAAAAAATAGAGAAAAAAATAATTAAATATCCGTTTAAAATGGTCAAATCTAATCATCTGTCTGGTGCTGACTTTTTTTAAGCAGATGTCTCTTCTGATGTCATCATGTATCCCTAATTTTTATTTAGGGCTTTACATATTGTGTTGCACTAATCCAATTAAACTTGCCTAATTATGCTCACAACAAATTTCATTTCCCACCACTACTTAAATCTGCATAATAAATGTTTTGTAATTTATTTTTGTGACACATTTCAGATGATGATGATGATGATGATGACAACAACGAGGAGGTGCAGTCAAACAACTGTGATGATGAACAGCCTAGCAATGATGGGTCATCACCATCAGTTAGACTGTCTTGCCAGGGTGAAGATGAAGTAGAATGTGGTGATGAGGTCTTACAACCTGTCAGTGAGGCACATGGGAGTATTACCACCAAAAAAACACCTGACAGCAAGCGTGCTGTTGAAAGTCCGTCTTCTTCAGAGAGCCCCAGCCAATCAGCAGTGGTGAAACCTCTGGCTTATGAGAACAAATCTGCTTCCCACAGTCATCTGGTAGCTGTGTCTGAAAGCATCAGTGACACAGAGATTGTGTCAACAAATGTGGACTCACTGCCCACCCTGACAATAGTGTCAGCTAGTTGCACTCCTTTGCCACCCAGCCCTGATGTAACTGACACAACATCTAACAGCAAAAAGAGAAAACGTGAATCGAAGACAAAACTCATGCCTGTACAAAATGGCAACATCAGACGAAACAGTGTGAGGTGAAGTTGATAAACACTTGTGAAACTGTCTTAAGTATACTTTCATTTCAAAACATGAGCTGTGAGTGGAAAGAAATAACAATGCTGTGAAAAAGTATTTGCCCCTTCCCAGTTTCTTCTATTTTTTATATATTTGTCACACTTCAGTGTTTCAGATCAACAAACTAATTTTAATATTAGACAAAGATAACGCAAGTAAACATAAAGTGCTGCTGATGATTAGTAAATGATTATTTCATTTACTGAAGGAAATGCTGTTCAGCACTTTCTGGTCCTATGTGAAAAGTAACTGTCCTCTAAGCTACTAATTCAACCACTTAACCATTTCATTTGACTACTGGGTTCAATTTCATCAGCCACACCCAGGCATGATTACTCTCAGACCTGCTGAATCTAAACATCACTTAAATAGAACCTGTCAGGCCATGTGAAGCAGGCTAAAAGATCTCAGAGAGCAGCACATGATGCCATATTCTAAAGAGATACAAATACAGATGTGAAACAAGATCATTTAAATCTACTAGTCTGGAAAGGTTTACAAAGCCATTGCTAAGGCTCTGGGACTCAAGCAAACCACTGTGAGAGCCATTATCCACAAATGGAGAAAACTTGGAGCAGTGATGAACCTTCCTAGGAGTGGCTGGCCTACCAAAATGTCACCAAGAGCACACTGATGACTCATCCAGGAGGTCACAAAAGAACCCATCTAAAGAACTGCAGGCGTCACTTGCTTCGGATAATGTCAGTGTACATGTTTCCACAATAAGAAAGACACTGGGCAAAAATGGCATCTATGGGAGAGCTGCAAGGTGTGAACCACTGCTGACCAAAAGGAACACAAAGGCTTGTCTCGCATTTGCCAAAAAAACATCTAGATAACCCCCCGAAGACTTTTGGGATAATATTCTGTGGACTGATGAGTCAAAGGTGGAACTTTTTGGAAGACGTGTCCCGTTATATCTGGTGTAAAACTAATACTGCATTCCACCAGGAACATCATACCAACAGCCAAACATGGTGGTGTTAGTGTGTTGGTTTGGGGCTACTTTTGCAGGACCTGGATGTCTTGTCATAATTAATGGAACTATGAATCCTGCTCTCTATCAGAAAATCTTGAAGGAGAAAGTCTGCCCGTCAGTTCATGGTTTAAAGCTCAAGCGCAGTTGGGTTATGAAGCAGGATAATGATCCAAAGCACACAAACAAGTCCACCTCTGAATCGCTCAAAAGAAACAAAATTAAGGTTTTGGAGTGGCCAAAATTCCTCCACAGTGATGTAATAGACTCATTGCAAATTATGGCAAATGTTTTACTGTAGTTGTAACTGCCAAGGATGGCAGAACCAGTTATTAGGTTTAGGGGGCGATTACCTTTTGAATAAACAGTAAAAAGCTGCATTTTGTGCTTACTCGTTCTTTTTTTATATTGTATTAAAATTAGTTTGATGGTTTGAAACATTGATATGTGACAAATTAGCAAAAACAGAAGAAATTGCGTGAGAGGCTTATACTTTTTCACAGAACTGTAAGCAAATGAGTTCGCTGTAACCGTTACGTCCTAACTATAAAAGAAAAACCAACAATGTGGTAACAATCCAGCTAAATTTTTTTTTGTATTTTTGAGTTCTCATTTACAATGTCAGAATTTTTAATGTTCAATAATCATTAATTTTCTGATTCTGTTAAATGACTCCAACCTTCTCGGTTCTTACTGTGCATTTTTTCATTCTGTTTAGTGAAGTCGATATTCCACTGGATATGGGAGTAACTTGCAGCCCTGTGCGAGCAGACTCCACACGCGCTGACACACCAACTCAGGACATGGTCAGCAGTTCTCACTCCACACCTCCCCCTAAAAGGAACAAGGTAAGTATGTAATAGACTTAGAACTATAGTGTATTGCTTTTCTTTCTATTTTTGCTAGCTGTGTAGTCTTTGGCTTGCTACATGTGTAAACATGGCAAATTGAACATTTATAGTTCTAAAATATTAATTATTTTAAAGTATTTTAGTGCTTTGTCTTTTTTTTTTCCATGTTTTAAAAGTATATGGTGTTATATTGCAATGATTTCTGGGCAAGTTCTGCTGCTGAAGTCAACCTTTATGCTGATTTGGTACCTTGCCTCTCCAAGGGTTCATCTAACAAACTTCACTTGGAATGGCCCTTAAGATGACATTGGGAAAATGGCGAGGGCCAATTTGACAAGAGCATATACATAAACTGTCTGAGCATGGACCTTTGCCGTTGTTCACCTGTTGGTGTTTTTTTTTATACACTAAAAATGTTGGTTAGAAGTGCATTCCATTTGCCCAGTGTTTGCCCTAAATGTTTGTGGGCACAGTGCTGCACTACTACTCAGTTTCAAATGTTTCTTAATGTTCTTAAAACTCAGAGCTGACCTTAAATTGTGAAGTCATACATCATACATTTAGCAGGTGTAATAAAAAATTGAACTGGCCATTCAGAAGAGGAGCATTTGCTGATTTGCTAAGGTCTAGATGAAGCCTAAAATCCTGTAAAGTGAGTTTATCAATACCACTGGGACATGGACATTTAAATGTCATTTTAGGGTTGAATGAGTTCGAAGGAGATAAGTGATTGCATTTTCAATCAAATCTCCACCAACTTAACCTCTTAGCATCATTTAACCTGTGCCAGTGTATGTATTGTAACCGGTATCCCAAATCATAATTGAGGAACGTTTATAAGCTGCCAGATGAGTTCTGAAATAGACAATTACACACAAAACTGTCTGCTATTCAGTAAAGGGAAAACATTGTCATCAAAAGTCTGGTATAAGCAGACACTTAAGATCCAGTATTTGCTGTGAGAGAAGGAGAATCCCTACTTGTACCAAGTCTAAACTTTGGTATGATTTTAAAACATTGATAAGAGTCTCAAAACTGAGAACATTTGAAATCTGAAGTTTAAATGAAGGTTATCTTTAGAACAACTTTGATTTGTGTTATACAGATGAAGTTGCTTTTTGTTTTGTGTTTTAGCACAGGCACAAACAATGCTTACTCAGGAAGTAAGTCAAAGTTTAATGCATTTATTGACTGATTCAATCTACAGGTGAATGTGGCGACACAGTGTGATCCAGAAGAGGTAATCGTTCTCTCCGATTCCGACTGACCTGTCTTCACTGCTGCATTATAGGGCAGTGAGCATTCATCCGCATACCTCTTCCTTGTTCTGGCTGTGCTAGTGCCTGCCAGTGTGAACTCCTATTGGAGCAGAGAAACAAAGCTTAATGGGAAAGCACTTCTGCATTGAGCTTAACCTTTGCCACCATTCTACCATTCCAGTATCTTTTTATACTGTAAAACATTGCACTGCCCAGATGGAACAGCAGCATAAAATCAGGGTCTTCTAAGTGTTTTTAGTAATGTTTTAATTGTAAAGGACTATTGGATTTGGATATTCATTTTTGAAAGCTTGAGTGACCAGGTGAAATTTTAGTTTTAGAAACTGTGTAATAGGACAAAATTGGAGGCAAGGCCTATATTTTGATGGTTCTTTTACAAACTTAATAAAATGATATTTTGTAACTCTGACTGGTATTTTCTTTCTATTAAATTGTAAAGCGATGCAAAAATAACAGAAACTGTAACAGTTTAAGTTGCATGGCTGGCTTCATTATTGATGACCAAAAGAATAGTTTTAGAAAATCTATGTAGTACTTTTTTATGTCTTGGGAAGAATCATTGATTAAAAAAAGGAGTTATGTCATGGAAAAAAAAAATATTTTTTTCTGTGTCAGCACTGATAGTGCTACGTGGTTGGTGAGTAGTGGCACAACATCAGGTAAGTCATTGAGTGTTTAAATCGGATTTTGTCAGTAATCCAGTCAATGTGTTTACATGCACTTGTGTAAAAGATAATGCTCTGGGAAAACTCTGGGTTCTAGACCTTACTCTGATAGATGAAATCAGAGTGTGCTATTTAGGTGACCATTTGAATAATTAGATAACTGCAGAAAGCTGATTATGATCAGAGGTACACATAACTGCGGAAATTCAGATTTTGTCAGTAATCTGGTCAACGCGTTAACATGCACTTGGGTAATCAGATAATAGGAAAACTCCGGATCTACATAAGTCAGGTGGTAATTGCAACCAACCAGTAAATTTATAGAATAAGACGTGACGTACAAGGAGTGTAGGAATGTGAGCCTCCATGATCAAGCCAACGGCAACAGTAGCGAGGAAAAACTCCCGAAGAGCATGAGGAAGAAACCTTGAGAGGAACCAAGACTCGAAAGGGAAACCCACCCTCCTCTGGTCTGCCAACTCTTGACGCATTGGCCGTGAGATTCACGCATTTAAGTCTGATTTCACGCATTTTATGTCTCTCCTCAAAACGACCTAACAATAAACCTGAACACTCATAAAACTTAATAGAAACACTCCGGACAGGCAGCGCTGGTTTACTTTAATGCCAGTGAAGCATTCCCTACGTGTTTTGGATCAATGTCAGAGACACTCGCTAAACCTTCTCTAACCACACTGCAAACAGATGAGAACTGAAGACTTGGTCAATAAACTAAACATGATCAATAAAGTTTTAAACAAAATGACAAGCAAGAGCAGCGTTTATGACTACACACAGAAGCACAGTTTACACTGCATAATGCAGAATCAAGTGCTACCAGGTGAAGAATGTGACTGATACCAGAAACTTTCTGGAAACATTCTCTGCAACTGGACTGTATTCTGTCCTCATGAGAGCTGGCTGACCAGGAGAGATAACAATAAATTACTGATGCTTAACAAAATCAGAACTTACCAGCTTTCAGTCTATGCTCCTCTTAAGGCTTGCCATCAAGTCAAGCCAAGTCAAAGCTTATTTACATAGCGCTTTTTACAACAGACGTTGTCTTAAAGCAGCATTACAGAAAAAAATAAATCTGGGTCTGAGCCCCCATGATCAAGCCAATGGCAACAGTAGCAAGGAAAAACTCCCGAAGAGCAAGAGGAAGAAACCTTGAGAGGAACCAAGACTCAAAAGGGAAACCCATCCTCCTCTGGTCGACCATCAGTATAAGATACAGAAAAGCAGGAGAAGAAATATCTATGATTAAAAATTCAGCAGTATCATCAGGAGGGTCTATGGCATGCAGGTGAGGTGTTCTACAAAAGTAAGCTCCATGGTGGTCAAACTGGTCCAGAGCGTGGGCACCTGAACAGCAGCAACATCAGACTGCACAGGATAGGCAGTTTTTCAGCCTGGCAAAGAAACACACAGACAGTTAATTCTGTTAAGATTGATTACAGTACACAATGTTAGCAGAGTGCAGCAGAGACTCCAGCAGGTCTAGCTATTATAGTCTAACTAAAAGGGAGAGCCAGAAGGTAACAGACATGAGGGCTCCCTGAGATGTCAGCGCCCCTCTGCTCCACTGTCAACAAACTTGAGTGAACATGTGAGAGCAGTGGGACGACAGCACCCTGTTTACCATGGTACTCTATGTTTATGAATCCCTCAGATCTGCACCCCTCAGCTAACATGAAAAACGAATTACCAAAAGTTCAACTAAACAAGCAGGTTTTTAGCCTAGACTGAGGCTGTGTCTGAGTCCCGAGCACTGACTGGAAGATTATTCCAAAGCTTTGGGGCTTTGTATGAAAAGGCTCTACCCCCCTGATGAAACTTTATCAATTCTAAGTACTAATAGTAAGCCAGCACCTTGTAATCTCAATAGCTGTGATGGTTCATAATAAGAGATTATTATGCATTATAAGTTCACTCAAATGCTGAGGAGTGACACCAAGGTGTTTTACAGATGTACCTGATGCAACTAAGAAACTAATAAGTTTAAGCGTTAAATTTGACAGTTAAATTTGAAAGTTTGTTTCTAGCAGCTTTTGAACCAAGAAGAAGAACCTGTTTTGTCTGTTTTGAGTTGTGCAGGAGGAAGTTACTCAACATCTAGTCTTTGATGTATTTTCCAGAGTCTTTAAATTTATCATATGGTTTGGTTGATATATATAATTGTGTGTCATCAGCGTAGCAGTGGAAACAGAGCCTTGCAGAACACCATACTGTACTTTTGTAAGAGCAGATGATTCACCATTTATATTTACAAACTGGTAGTGATCAGTCAGGTAAGCCCTGAACTAGGAAAAAGCTATTCCTGTTACTCCTACAAGGTTTTCTAGACTATCTAGTAAGATAGAGTGCTCAAGCAGATCAAGCAGAACCAGCAAAGATCCTTGGTCAGAGGATAATAAGAGATTGTTTACAATTTCTTACTAGTGCTGTCTCTGTACTATGATGGGGCCTAAATCCAGACTGTAATTTTTCCATGTATATGTGTCCTATCCTAATAGGAACTTGTTTTGCCACAGCCTTTTCCAAATGTTTTGATATAAAGGGAAGATTAGAGACAGGTCTATAATTTGATAACTTGCAGGGATCAAGATTAGGTTTCTTAATCAGAGGTCTGATTACTGCTAGTTCAAGGATTTTTGGTATATAGCCAAGGCTAAGAGAGGAGTTTATTATTGACAGAAGAGGCTTGGTTATTTCTGGCTAAATTTATTTGAGTGGACTTGTAGGAATTGGGCAGCAGGTTTGTTGAGGTTGACTGAGCGTTTTGAATTTTTGCCTGATTGTTTTAATTTTAGTATTGAAGAAATTCATAAAATCCTTGCTGGGGGTTCAGTAGCCATTTGGTTCTTAGTCAATTTAGTGATAAATAATAATCTAGGATTATACTTATTATTTTCAATAATAAGAATAATCAGTGACAGAACATTATTTTATGAGTAATTTATGCAAAAATTATATTTGTATATGTTACATTGACCTTAAAAGTAATGGTTTTATTTTGAATGGATATATGTAGTGTTGATGTGGAACATTTGAGATTTGAGCATGTAAAGATCTGATGCTCGTACAACTTTTTAGTAATATTTGAGTTTTAGTGGCTGAAAAATTCAAAATGTCTGCATTCCTTAAAAAATCAAATGTTGCAGATCCAAACGGCTCTCATGAAATAATGCAGAAAGTGAGTTAAAAAGTTTTTGTGTTAAACATTTATATCTAATGGCATTCATAATTGGTAGCAAAACATGCATCTAGAACCTACAATAGCATAAAGAGAATAAAGGATCACTATTGTGCAAATAGTAAAAATAAAATAAAAACAAAATAAATAAATAATATAAATAAATAAAATAATAACCTTAACCTTTAAAATGGCCAGGGCGTGCCAGTGGGCCTAAAGTTTTATTACACACTTCTGTAATTTAAGAAAAACTCAACCAGTTTGCGCTAAAGTCCCTGTAGTTACTGAATAATAAGCCTTAGTATGCAATAAGCCTGAGACTAATGAAGCCTGAGGTTAATGAAGACCTAGATGTGGTTTGAGCAGGTTGAAGTTGTTTTGGTAATGTATTTTTACAGAAATTACATTTTTCTTTTTTTTTTTTGGTGTTTTATGTTAGAACAACATTATGTTCAGTCCAACCCTTTTTAGGGTAACATTTCTGACCTTTAGCTGTGGGGGACTCATGCAGGGTGAAGACGCTCAAACACAACCCCCTACATTAATATTTATATTTAGTCATTTGATTAAAGCTTGTATCCAGATAGGCTAAGAAAACATACAAATGCTTCTACATAAAACCTGCATTTAACAAAAGTAATTTTGAAAACTGACAAAGATTTAAAAACCTACATAAAACGTACCCTCCAATAAATTAAACTGTTTCTATTAACATGAAGCCAGTTCTTTTTAAAGATCTATATTATTATTGCTGTATTATTGTTGTAAATAACAACCAGTTATTTCAGTTCAGTCCAGTCATTCTGTCAGCAGTTAAACCTAATATTTAACATGTGATTTAGAACTTGTAATAAACATGTGATTTAGAACTTTAAATTTTATAAGGAAAAAAAATTATTTGCAGCACAGCTTTGAAATTTGAATTTGGTAATTGTATGAATTACGCAGGTTTAGGTGTAGACCAGTTATTCTACAACCCCATTTCCAAAAAAGTTGGGATGCTGTGCAAAATGTAAATAAAAACAAAATACAATGATATGCAAATCATTTAAACCCTATATTTAATTGAAAATAGTACAAAGACAACATATCAAATGTTGAAACAGAGAAATTTTATTGTTTTTTGGAAAATGTATGCCCATTTTGAATTTGATACCAACAACGCATTCCAAAAAAGTTGGGACGGGGCAACAAAAGGCTGGTAAAGTTATGTAATACTAAAAACAAACACCTAGTGGTTAATTGACAACAGGTCAGTAATGTAATTGAGTATAAAAAGAGCATCCCAGAGAGGCGGAGTCTTTTGGAAGTAAAGATGAAGCAGGAGTTCACCATTCAGTGACAGACTGCACAAGCAAATAGTGCAACAATTCAAAAATAAGGTTTCTTAATGTAAAATAGCAAAGAACTTTTGCTTTTCATCCTCTACAGTACATAATGTCATTAAAAGATTCAGAGAATCTGGAGAAATCTCTGTATGCAAAGGAAAAGGTCAAAAACCAATATTTGCTG